TGCCCCCGCCCCCCCCGGCGGCCCGCCCCCGGATCTGAAGTGAAATACAGACACCCCCCACCCAACAAGCCTGGGGGGGGGGGGGGGGGGGGGGGGGGGGAGCTCAAGCACTCTGCGAGCATATTGCATATTGCATTGCATTTTCATTGTCAGCGGGGGGGGCAGGCAGGCAAAACACAAATACAAAATACAAAAAAATACTCGAAGAATTCTTTCACCTTCGATTCGTGTCGATTCGATGTGGGTGGCTGTGGCTGTGGCTGTGGCTGGCAGGCGGCACATGTTTCAGCTAAGCAACAGTAAGAACCCTTTTAGGGCTTCATGAATATTTATGACGATATGCGGGGGTGTACCCCCTTGTAGGAGGATAGCCCGTGGTAAATGACAAAATGAACGAATAAAAGACAGCTCGTGGCAGTGCAGGCAGGGCAGGGCAGGGCAATGCCATGGATCCACTTTCCATGTGTGCCAGTTGCTTCTGGCCGTCGAGTATACCCCACGAGCAGCAGCTTCTTTCAGTTACGAGTGCTGCAAAAGATGCCAACCGTTGGCTCTATGCCTGTGCGGGACATCAACAGGGTTTCGTTGTAAACGTTGATGGGAATATTTATGACACTGCTCTGCCGTTGCGTATAATGAATGGGTTATGGGGTGGACACCTTAGCCCTTGCTGCCCAGAACGATAAGCTACGTAGCCACTAATTGATTTTGCCACTGATAAATCGCTGCCAATCGCTGACTCGAGCTGCTATCACTGACAGGCAGTGGTACATGTGTTAAAGGGAGCGCAGCAGCAGCAGCAGCAGCAGCAGCAGCAGCAGCAGCAGCTACGATGACGATTGTAAATCATTTCCTGTTTATGTGTCTGGCCTAATTGCAGCCATTAGCAGCAGGTGAACTTTATACTGAGCGATGCGATCCACTTGGATGCGTCACTAAATGTAATCTACTATCAGCCTTCAAAGAGCGAACCCCTGAGCATGTGTAATTGCATTGGAGCAGTGGGTCTACACGCCCCATGCCCCATGCCCGCTGCGTTTGCTTTTTCCATTCAGATTGCCACATTTGTATAGGAATCCCTTGGTGGTTTGCATTGTGAAGATGGAGTGGCAGTGGCAGTGGCCTGCTGCCCCGCTGTGCTGTTGCCCAGCTAATAATCATTTGTTTGCACTTTGCATGCGCCAGATGGCCAACAAAAGGGCCAACCGGACGGACCGGACCGTCTATAGATTTAGACTTGGCCACGAGCGTGCGAAGCCATGCAGTGAAAGTATATTGCTCCCTTGCAAGCCATCATTCAAATATGTTCATTAAAGATGCATAATATGTGTATTTTTACTTAGAAACTTCTTTTAAGATGGTTAACTTTTGTAGCCGCTTTCAGCACTTAATGTTTGAAATTCAAATCCTGCGGCTAGTGCTTTATGACGAATGGTGGATGCTACGACATTTATAGTTTCTGAGCTGTGAGCTAGTAGATGCCACATTACATCCCTGTGTAATTGCAATGTAGCACATGTGTAGTATTCATGTACAAGCTGGAATTATGCTACCTTTTTTGGTCGACCTTTTCAGTTTTAAACTTCATTTGGAAACATTCCAACAAAAAAAGTCGTAAAAACTCTTCGATCTTGTTGAGAATTGATTGATAAATCGGTTGAAATATATTTTTAACGCGGAGGCCTTCTAACTACCTAGTAATATCAAATAGAACATCAAAATAGACGAAAATGGGCTAATAATTACGTTATATGTATATTTTTTTGGTATATTTCTGTGCTCACGGCTGACCTAATCCTCTCTCTAGCTGACCTAATCCTCTCTTTGTATGTGACGGCAAGGTATGGCAAGCAGGTAAAAAAGGACGAACTTTTCGAAGCCCCCACCTTTTCAGCGCCTGTTCAAAGGATCCCTAATAGTGCTTGTAGGAGAGAATTTCCCTGACCGATTAGACACAGGAGAGGATTTCCCTAACCCTTAAGACACAGGAGAGGATTTCCCTGACCGTTTAGACACAGGAGAGAATTTCCCTGGAGAATTTCCATCCCGTAGGATGAAAATCGCCGTGTAATTTACCTGGCGCCTCTGGAATTTTTGTGACGTATTTACGCGTTGTCGACACCTTAACTTTTGGTACAAATTTCGCACCATGAAAGCTCCCTTGGTTTGTAAAGGGAGTTTGAAAGCTCTTTTCATTTGCGAAGGGAGTTTGAACAACTAATGAGAACAACTAGTATTTGCTTATTTGTTTACTTTCGATTATGAATTAAGTGCTAACTGTAATTATGGAATGGGAATAAATATAAATGAAATATTTATTATTAAAATAAATATTTTATATATTACAAAGTATATAAATATTTATATAAAGTTGTAAGGAAATGAGAACTGCCCCCAAACCACACCCAGCTTATTATAATATTTCCCTTTCCCTTTCAGGAAACAATCGAATTTCTTTATCTCTTTTTTTGTGCGCGCCATATTTCAAATTGTTCAATGTTATCAGTGAATATACATGTCTCTTTTAATAATTTACTTACATACTATAGACAAAGCTCCCTCGATTCCAGAAGGGCGATTTTAATGAAAAATTAAAATACAAATTTGTAAAATAAAAGGTCATCAGGATACAAACCAATAAAAATTTGTATTTACACAACGTCAAATTGATCCTTCAAACGCATTAAATAATGGTTTTAGTGTTAAAATTCTTTGCAACCTGGTAATATCAAATAGAACCTCTAAATCGAGGAAAATGATTTTAGATTTTCGGTATATTTACAGTATATTTTGAAAATGCAATAGTCCATCACGGTATATTTCTGACGCGGTATGTTGTATCGATAAATACGCGGTCACAATGGATACACTGGCGGCCGCCTTTTTTTTTACAAATGCAAATAAAACGTAAATTAAGAGTTTATTAGTGATAAAAAGGAGTCACAATGGAAGTCATTTTACCCCTGGAGCTGCACAATGGCCAAAAGTTTCTAGAGTGTGCCACTAAGCTCGAATACGATGAGTTTTCAGCGGTAAGTCTCAGGCCCAACCACGCCAACAACAATTGGGTTTTCAAATTTGTTTTTGTTTACAGAAAATGTTTGTGTTCTGCACTGAGTGCAGCGATGTGGATGTGTTTGAGCTGATGGGCAACCAGCGATTGATGCAGTTGATATACGGCTGGGAGGTCTGCCACCTGCCCAATCCCGAGGGCCTGCGTGAGGACTCGTTGCGTCATGTGGTCCAGGTGCTGGCGCACTACTCGCTGCAGTTGTGGTTCAGCCAGGAATGGACAAGCTGTTCGGAGGGGCTCAAACGCATGCTGCTCTACCACTTGGGCAAGGCAATGTCATCGTTTGCCCAGATTGAGGGTCTGTCCAAAATCGATTGGCCGTACATACTCAAGTTTCAGGGCAAACCCTGGCGGGTGCCCTATCTGCAGCAGCTGTTTGCCAATCTGCGACAGAACAAGCATCATACCATTGAGCATTCAGTGCTGGCTGCCACACAGGAAGGTGAGTGGACAACTGTTCCTTGATGGAGTCTTACTGATTGCCTTTTCTCCTGCAGATATCGCGTACCTTGAGCAGGAGCAGCTGTATCTCATCCTGCTGCGTCTAATACAGCTCTTCAATGCGGGCAACTTTGAGGCACTGAAGCAGCTGGCACTTCGCGTACTGGCAGCTTGGCTCAAGTCCAATGCCAATGCCAGTTGTGAGTCCCTGGAGCATGACCAGATAGCCATTACACTGGTGGGGCATCTCTACCTATTGACAGTTTTCGTCATGGATGAGAATCGGGGCTATGTGATTGATAATTTGGTAAGTGGGGGGGATAGACCACGCCTTAGATGTGACTTCTAATCGAAGATCTACTCCGCAGATGTACAACATACGTTTCTATGCGCTGAGCATGCAGGAAGCTCCAGTGGCAGAGGACATCAACTTCACGCCTGCCCGCCTCATCGCTCAGGTGTGTGTTCGCTTGAGGCTGAGCAAGAGCGGCTTCTTCGAGCAGATTGTGTTCAAGAAGTTCAAGCTGAATCTGATCACCTCGTTCGCCGTCATGCTGGAGGCCTACACCAGCTATGTGCTGGGCAATCAGTTGATGGAGCTGATGGCCTTGAACGAACACGATTTCTTGACCCACTTGCCACACTTTCGGGTGCTCATGTATCGCTATGTGGAGGAGCGGGAGAACAGCGAGGCCTTTCTCCTCAATGAGCTGCAAAAGCTCGAGTCGCAGCGTTATAGCCACGCCAAACCGTACACCGTGAACCTCAACCTGAACTATCAGCAGCAAATCTGCAAAGGCAATCGTGCCAGCAACATTGGCAACTACAAGAACTGCGACGATGATGAGAAGCCCCCGTTGGATGTCGACGAGGAGTTGGATCGCCAAATAGATCCCGTCTTTCAGACTGTGCCCAACAACGAGGAGGTTCTGGATTTTGTCTACAAACTGCTGGCAGAGCGGGTAAGCCAAATGACTCCAGCGACTACTCCCATTGATTGCTTAAATTTATCTTTTTCCACAGGAATTTGAGGGCTGGCAGTTTGCCAAGATTGCGCTGCTGCTGAAGATTATTGGCCAGCAGCTGAATGCCATCGAAATTTGGCGCTATCATCCCGGGCTGACCACTGACTTTATGCTCAATTTGGAGCACAAATTATCCAATAACTATGCGGATCTGGCCAAGGTGTTCAGTGATCATGCCTTCATGGAGGCAGAGTTCTGGCTGACAGCGTTCTATCTGCATCCAACGACACACAACTATAACGAAGTCAAACGCTGTTCGCGCATCAAGAAGAAGCGTTCCTTGGATGATGAGTCGCCTGGAACGGGGACCGCCGCTGGCGGCAACACACAAAGTGCTTTCAGCGTCAAGTACGAGCTGCTCAGCTCCACCATTGATGTGGATGAAATTGTGACGATAACCAATCACAATGCCCCCGTGGGAGACTACGATCCGATCTACAAGGCTCTGCAGGCGCTGCGACTGCCGCGTAGCTTCATCAAGGATCTGCTGACGGTGATCTTTCAGCCGCGCAACAAGCGCTACTCGTGGGCCCTCGAGTGGTCCACGCTGCACGAGCGCTGCAATGCGCTGCTGAAGAGCAAGGATCTGAAGAATAAGTTCGTGGCTTTGAATATGGCCGAGGCCAACGATCGTTTAGAGTTCCTGCAAATTGACTACGCAAAGTACAAGGATCGGCCGCAGCTGGACTATGGCACCATCGAAGAGGGCTACGAGAATGCGGCCAACCTCGCCGAAGCCGAGGCAGAGGTGAGCGCGGATGAGAAGGAAGAGGAACCGGGCCCGAAGCAGCCAAAGAAACGGAGACCGCCGCGTAAATTTTGGGATGAAGGTAAGACAACCCCATAGACTGCTGATTCTCCAACATAAACCTGTTCCTTTTGCAGTAATCTCCGAGGACGAGGAGGAGGATGTGGCCTCAGACGAGTCAGAGGCTTATTACACGGGCACTGGTCGAAGGACGCGCGTTCGTGCTGCTGCCATTGTGGCCAATTCCATGCTCTCGGACATGGATCGCAGCATGCGAAGTGGTCGCCGATCGCCGACCATCGTCAGCTCACCAGTCGCCCCGTCCGAACCAGAAGAAGAACAATCCCAGACAGAGCCCGAGCCTGAGGTCAAGCCTGAGCCCATAGACGAGACGGAGACGCCAAAGTCTCCTTGCCCAGAAGCGGCAGTGAATCGAGAGAAACGCTCATTTGGCGATCTGCTGGACACCCGCACAAAGTTTAGTAACGAAACCAGCGGCTTCAAGGCCTTTGCCGACATCTGGAGCTACGAAAAGGAAGAACTTCAGGCTGTGGCCAGCGGGAGCAATGGCCTGAGCGAATGCAGTTCGGTTTTAAGCAAATTCAAGAGCTGGCAAACCCTCAGAGAAGCTGCGCCAGCGAGCACAAACGTCGCGGAAGAGGCGGCGCCACGAGCAAAGAAGACGCGCGCCACGTCGGAAGCGGACAGCGTGGATTCGGATACGTCGACGATGGCCATGCACGACTCCACCGAGGAGCAATGCGAGAATTTGTCTGGTGTAAGTAAAGAGTTAACGCCTCCGCCGGCCACAGCGTCTGATTTTAATATGGAGACAGGCGTGTTCCAGCCCGAAGAGAAAGAGAAGGAGGCGATCCAGGAGACTCGGACGGGAGTTCAGGATGTAGACGAAGCTACGACGACGACGCCAGATCTCCCTCAAGATTTGAATACTCAAGAACAACCAAACAAGCGCTTCAAAACCTCACCAAGCAGCCACAGCACAGAGCCAACAACCCAGAGACCTGACGACGACGACGACTTAACGAAACGCCTCATCCAAGAGTGTCTGACACGCAGGGCCGAGGTGCGCTTACAACTTCTTACTCTGCAGGACATGAGGCAGATGCGCGAGTGTCGAGTTCGGATCAAGCGCACCGACTTAGTCTCCTACTACCAAGAGCGAGAGAAGCCGCAAGCTAAACGAAGAAAGCCAGGGCCAGGCAGCCACCGCCACAGCCACAGCCGTTCCATCACCACAGACAGCAATGCATCAACGCCCACGCTCGAGAGGCGGAAAAGCGACAAGAAACGCTTGAAGAAATTTGTGCACATAACATCGGATACGCCGGGAACGTCAGCGTCTGTGACGATGCCCAAAAAGATCTTCCGGCACATAACTTCCGATTCATCAACGGACATGGAAGAGGTGCAGCCGCCAGCGCCACTCAATCGCAAGCGCAACAGCCGCGGCGGTCGTGCCACGCGAGGAGGTGGCGTGCGGGTCAAGGAGCTGCAGGTGCGAATCTGCCGGCAGACACCCACAGAGAGAGTCTCCTGTTCGCCGGATGTGATTGAGCTGTCCTCGGACTCACACTCCTCCTGCTCGCCGCAGCCGCGCACCAACCCAGCCAGCATTCACTTCTCTGACGTCATGGAACTGGATCCGTTGTACGAGGAGGAAATCGTTCCATTTTGACGCTGCTAAAAAGGACCTTCCTGCACAGGCCCTGCGGCGAGGCGGCTCTACGTGCTCGTAACGAATGCCCGGCGAGGGGTTGCACATTGGGAACTGAGTTCTACAGCCCTGGAAAATTGAATTCGTTTCGCTTGTTCGAATGCAATTGGCCCTCGGGCACATTTTGTATTTGTTCTGCTCTGATTTTGATGAAGTTATATTTTTTGTATGTGTGTGTAGCGTGTGTGTGTGTGTGTGTACATCTGTTTGGCCACAGCTCAGGCATTGTGTGGGACTCCTATAAAACGCCCGCTAGCCTCTCAATTAAAACGCCTAATTGATATGCATTGTGGTTCTCGCCAAGGCAGCGAATTAGCCACACGCGTCGGAGGAGCACTTGAGCTGGTCAGGCATATCAACAACAATCAACAATATCCCGGGGGGGGGGGGGAAAAAGGAAGAGGAGGCTGCGACACGTGTCGGCTGTTGGTGTGATTTCGGTTGGTTTTGAGTCTGGGCTGTTGGTTTGAGGGCATTACTCTGGCAGCTGTGTGGAATGATTGTGTTATTCCGAAAGAAGCTAACGATAATTATAAATATAAATATAAATAGTTATTTAGCACTAAGAATTATCAATCGATTTATGTACAAACACACAAAATTAGAAATGCCCAGAAATTTTAATGTAGAGAGTTGCCAAAAAGGCAATTTGTATCCTCTTTTAGTTTATATATTTAATTAAGCAACAATTATTTGTTATTTTAAGCTAGCAACGCCACACATATGGAATTAATTTAAGCATCAGTTTGACTGAGAAACTTATCCTATTCCCCTTGCTATTCCTTTTTGTTGCTTTATGTTTTTTTGCCATTTTAACATTTCATATTTAATTTGTTGAGTCGAAATGCAAAGCGGGTGCCGATAAGTCTGGCATTGCTTAAACATAAGTTTAAACAAAAAACATTGGATACTTATCCATAAATTGTGGCACAATTAAACGCTTCTGGTACTCCTCCTTAGGTGTAAGGAGCTTCCTGGAGCTGCAACGGAGGGGAAGTATAAATATTTGCGAATCAATAGCAGTGCGAAATCAATACACACCCCGTCAGATAGACGCGACCACGGGCGGCCACCAAGTGTGCCAGATAGACCGGCGCTGGATAGGACACGGCGCGATTGCAGCGCGGAAACAAGTGGCACAGATTGTATGTCAACTGCTGTATGACATCAATGTCCAGCTTGCCCGTATTCTCAATCACGCTGTAGCGCGTTGGTCGGGCTGTGCCCTGAATGGCCTGATGGCTGACCAGAAAGAATTGCATCTCATTGGGATGCACAATGGTGCGGTCCACGACGGTGCCCGGCTCCACATTGTTGAATTTGTTGAACTGCGAAGGATTGCCGGAGGGAAAGAAGCGCGTGTGATGACGTTTGACAGCAATTATGCAGCAAATCTTGGGACGAATGTGCTTCTGCAGGGAAAATCCAGGGGGGTTAGCATACAAAGAGATATCCAAAAGTGCCAAAGTGTACCTTGCAGCAGGCCGCCTTAATGCCCCTCAACTCTTCATCCTTGATCTTGGGAAACTGTCCATCGCTGACACCATCGCGATAGTAGACAATGTGCTCGGGATAGCATTTTCTGTACTGATAATAGACACGCAAGTGCTCCAGCGTAATGGACTCCATGTCCTCGATATCCTCCAGGGTGGAGCGTTGCAGGCGATACTGCATGTTGTACGAAGCTCCGAATTGATCATGGGACGCTGTCACGCCCACCACACTGGGTATGTCACGCTGATCGGGCGATGGGTGGGTGACATCGGCACCCATAAACATGACATTGGGGAGCAAAGTGCGTGGATTATCCTTCAACTTGTGGTTGATGCCATTCAGCTTGGCATTGACCTTCAGCAGAATGTTGCCAATGCACTGAGGATTCAGTTTTCGCTGCACCGTAAACAGCTTGATACACTGCGTCAGTATGCCGTGCTGCAGTTCGGCCTTTTGCTTCACATTATCATATAGGGGGCCAGAGTTTGGTATGATGACAAACACAAAATCACATTGGAGCCGCTTGAAATCACGAAAATAGTTATCAAAATCACGTTCATCCTTGTACAAACGTATCTCAGCCTTCCTGTCCAGGCAGACGTTCACTATGGCACTCTGTGTTAGGACCTGCAAGGAGAGGAATATACCAGGAGTCCAAGAGGATCCAAGAATCACTGAGGCTACACTCACACATTGCTTGAAGTCTTCCACCGCATTGTACATCATTCGGGGACCATAGAGTATGGCCCATTTGTGTTCCCGCGGCTTGGGCGCATAGAACTTCAAGCGATCCATGCGCCACGAACCATTCTTCACGGACACCATGCTGTTCCCTTTGTATTCCACCATTGGGGGATCAAGGATGCGCATGTTCACCGTAATGAAATCGCTCTGCAAGCGCATGCCAAAGCGTGCCACGGTGGGGTTCGAGTTGTGCTTGAAAAATGACAGCAAATCCAAGATCTTCGATCTCCGCTCATTGGTGGATGTGGCTGTATATTTAATCATGGCCGACACCTGAGCCTCCTGATCTTTGCGCTGCAATACAAAATATACAAATAAAATAAACCTCCTAAACTAAGGACTCCTTGCAGCTACTCACATTCAGCAGCTGCCCCTCCTCGATGCTGCACAGTTCCATGGGCAAGAAAATATTTGCCGTGGGCGAGCCCACATGCAGACAGGGCAGATTGGGATATTTCAAATTGTATTCCCTGGAGGCAAAGTACTTCTCCACGGTCATCTGTTGCCCTTCCTTGTCGAAGGATAGCCTGTTGGCCGGCAGCTTGGTTAGCCCAAGGACCATGAAGATGGTCGGGGGTCTGGCGAAGCTTGGCGGTGATTTGTATACGATCTTGATGCCCTTCAGAAATGTTTCGATATCCAGTCGCTTGAGCTCAATGTTAGTATGATTTTCCACTCTTTCCCCGTGATATCGCTCAATGTACTCCACGACGGTGGAGGCGAATGGAAATGACTTGTGGCATACGTCCACATTGACAAACGGACGATCCCCCAGCACCACCGACTGATAGAGACCGACCAGCGCCTCGTAGCCATCGCCCAGATTAATGGCCTTGCCCTGATCGGATCGTTTGAAGAAGGAGCGACCAGCGCGTACGCCTGTGGCATGGCAGGGAGAGGCCAACACAACCTCCAGCACCTGCAAGGCGCGCATGGGCTTCTCGTTAATCTTATCCTTCACATAGCTGCGCAGGGAACTCAAATTTACAACCAGCTCCTCGGTCTCCTTCACTTGAAGAGTGAAATTCAGCGTACGACCGTGATTATCAGTCACCTGCGGGGAGCAAAGGTTCATCCTCGAGCCACTGGCTATAGCCAGCCAAGTAATACTTACAGTCACTTTCTCCTCTTGCGGCTTGCAAACTATTTTGTCCGCCGTGTAGCAGGAGGCACGGCCATCGTAGGCGGCAATCACACCGCCCATATGCTTCTTTCTGTACACCTCAAACGCGTGGCGATAGAACTTCTTGGGGCGCTCTGGTGAGATCTTCACATCATAGTGATAGGCAACCGCTGGCATTTTGTCCAAGTTGACATCCAAATAGTTGACTGCCACTTGACCAGGCTTCCCCAAGGTTCCACGTCTTATGGCGCCTCCTGCGACAGGCAACGCTGGCGTGCCGCGAACCAGAGATTTCGAGCTCTGAGTCGACACTGGCGTGCCGCGTCCCTGACCACAGGGACCCTGGCCACAAGTGCGTTGGTATTGCGGTTTGGGAGGAAGCTGTAGATCGTCTCCCTGTCCACGCTGTTGTCCACCCTGTCCGCCCTGATTGCGCTTCTTCTGACTGCTCTGCGTCTGCCATTCGCCCTCATCCTGCTCCGTTGTCTCAGATACCGAGGCTTGGATGCGTTGGTTCTGCGGTTTGGGAAGAAGCTGTTGATTGTCTCCTTGTCCAATCTGTTGTCCACCCTGCTGTTGTTGTTGTTGTCCACGTTGCTTTTGTTGCTGCTGCTTCTCTCCGCGCTGATTGCGTTTCTTCTGACTGCCCTGTACCTGCCATTCGCCCTCATCCTGATCCGATGTCTCAGATACCGAGGCGGCAGGACCTACAATTGGTGGGCGATTTGTCGTGAGTGTGGCTGCAACGGTCTGAGCCGATTTCTTCTTGGCAACTTTTCCTCCATCGGCAGGCTTATATTCTAATCGAAATAAATTACACTTAATTATTTTTGGCTCATTTAGCAATTTATTTTGCACTTGTTTTTTTCACTCACTATTTTCTTTGCCCATTTTTAATTATTATTAGCTTTTTTTTCTGATTCCGCTTTAACATTCGAATGACTGCTGGCTAATGCCAAACTTTTGCCCCCAACTGAATAAGTTTGACAGACAACTCGATGAAGTGTTGTTGGTCATTCAATGAAAATAATTCAGAAATCGAAAATACAATCCAAAAATTATCAAATATAACAGCCAACTCCTGGACAGGTTTCCTGGTAGAAAATGATTTAATACAATAAAAGTATTTAAAATTGTTGAAATTCGACCGCTCATTGGCAAACAAATATTATTTTGACGTGGCATAATTGATATCCATCCAGCCACAAGCCTCAGTGGCATATTGCTCCTCAATTAGCACCCTTGACACGCCTCACTCGTGGCAGCAATTTGGCGACAATTCATAACCGCATATCATATCAGATCCGCCACGTGTCCGACCACTTGGAATCACTGGAATCCACTCAGATGCTTCTTGGCCCATATTTGTGTGCATATCTATGGCACACTCTGCCACTTGAGCAGCCGGTAAGACCGCGGCACGTGGCCAGGCCTTAGCTGGAGGGAGACTGCTTCTGGGCGTACACATGTTGCGTTTTTTTGTTGTTAAAAGTGTCGCGGCGGAGGAGGTGTCCTGGCCACGTGGCTCTAATTCGTTTAGCGACAGGCGTAAGCCCTAAGTGATTACTGAGGTTTAAGCAACAAAAGCGAAAGAGTTGGACGCCGTTTGCGGGTAATTGAAACATTTTGAATGGCAATCGCGTAAGGCATTAGGCGGCACGCAAGTTCAATGTTTTGATATCAATAAAATGGCAAATGGTTAAGCCACAAAATGCGAATATTTATATACACTGCAAAAGGTTCAGGGGAATGTAAGATGGAGTTGGAACAGAGAGTGATTACAGAATCTAAAGCTGAAGCTCTGTGCATATTTGAGAGTCCGAAAATCTCTAAGAAATATTTTATTCCCTGAGAAAACACCGAGTGAAACCCTCTTGGATGGACATCCACACATTCCTTAGTGCAATTTTCAGCTCTTCTTCTCATGATATCAAAGTCCCAAGACCCCTTCTGGCACCAGTTAGTGTATGCAGCGCCAGCAGCAAATATTTGTTTGAACTTTGATGATGCCGTTTGGCGTCTGGCGCTGATCCTCACCAGCTCCGACATCCTTCCGATTGGCTTAGAGCGGCGCTGCTGGCTGGCAAAGCGTAAAAAATGCTCGTATTTTGACTGGCAGCGATAGCGATGAGCACGACTATAACGAATCTCCGACGTACATCCAGACCAGTCTCCGTCTCTGTGTGTGTTTGTGTGTGTGTGTGTGTGTGTGCGTAAGCAACCCCCTTTGGGCTGCAATCACGGCTGCGCGCATATCTGTTGGGATTTGTGTTCGTGTGTGTGTGTGTGTGTGTGTTATGGCGCCGCCACGACCGACGACAATGCGCCGAGGGTTGTTGCTGCGCTGCCTAGACCCAAATCAGCGGGCTTACCGCTTCCAGCGCGGAGCATTAATGGCTGGCCCCCGGGCACACGGGTGCATAAAACCGGTGCGCACTCCTTGCTAGCTTTTAGTTGGTGCGGGCACGCGAGACACACAGAAACACCCAGACAAAGCAGAGAGTGAATAACATAACGGTAAACGGTAAACGGCAAAGCGGCAAATCTATAACGGTGGAATACGCGCAGTTGGATTGAGAATAAACACAAAGAGAGAGAGAGACCCAATCGACCCACCGATCATGGCTGCCTGCTATAATGCCTACAGTGCTGCACCTCCTCAATGCTACGATTTCGACGAGGACGATGACGATGCCTCCTTCGACAGCGGCTACGAGAAGAGCTTCGAGACGGAGGCACAGCTCAGCTCTCGGCGACGTTTGGACTTCGATGAGAGCTACAACAGCGGAGCAGCGGGGCCGGCAGCGCCTTTGGCCTATGCCGGCAGCTGGGATGCAGCCCCGATCAACTCACCGCCGTCGGGATTCGTCGGTCTGCTGGACACGAGCAGCAATCACAGCACGCGCAGCGGCCGCACCCTGGTGGAGCATCTGAATAGTCGTGCACCGGGCTCAGGCTTCGAGCCGCAGCTGACCAGCACGCCGCTGAAGTCGCCGCCGGAGGACCCGGACGCACCGCGACCCAAGCGCAAATATGCCGTCGGCAAGAATCGCGTAACGCGCTCGCGCAGCCCCACCCAGGTGGTGCGCATCAAGAAGTTTCGCCGCATGAAGGCCAACGATCGGGAGCGCAATCGGATGCACAGCCTCAACGATGCGCTGGAGAAGCTGCGCGTGACGCTGCCCTCGCTGCCCGAGGAGACGAAACTCACAAAGATCGAGATCCTTCGCTTTGCCCACAACTACATCTTCGCCCTGGAGCAGGTGCTGGAGAGTGGGAACACCATCAATCTGGATCTGGAGAAGCTGCAGAATTTCACATTGAGCGGGGAGCGCATCACGAAGGAGCTGTTCGATGCGCTCTTTGTGAATCCGCAGCCATTCCCCATGCTTGGCTGTGGGAGAATGTTTCCCTATAGTCAGACGCAGCAGCAGCATCAGCATCCACATCCGCATCATCAGCATCATCCGCATCATCAGCAGCCGCAGATGCTGCCCTTCCAGCCGGGCATGGAGTATCCCGCAGCAGCGCCTCATCCTCATCCTCATTCCCAACCCCATCCGCAGCATGCGACGCCAACTGGCTTTGACTTTGGCAGCAGCATGAGGTACTATCAGCAGGAGCCGAGACCACAACAGCAGACGCCACCCGCTGGCCAGTTCTCGCAGGAGAAATATGATCTGTTCCGCGGCAGCTTCGAGGCAGCTGCCAAACTGCCGTCCACAGCCACAGAGCCAGCCATGCATCAGCAGAGCAGTTTCTACACACAGACGCCGCCCTGGAAGGAGTACCCCGAGGAGCCACATCCGCAGCCACATTCTCACAGCTACAAGCACTTTGCCCCCCAGGTATAGCACAGTTCTGGGGGTGTCGAACCTGCGTTTTAGTGCGTTTCAGAGCGTGATAGATTGGGATAAAGATTGTGCAGCTTGGCAGGAAACTGTTCCATGGGAATACGCGATCCAGCGGATGATCTCGTGACTAACTTTGGGTTAAGCAAAACCCTAAAGTTGCTGGCGAGCTTCGTCCAAGCTTTTCCATGCAACACTTTCCTCGAAGCTGCAACAATCAGTTGACATTTGTAGTAGGTGAACCACTAAATTGATTGCAAGGATCCACCATAAGTTTAGCTGATCCTCGCACTCAATTTAGAGTAAAGTGCAGCAGAGAGAGGGATCCGCAACAGAAGAGTCAATAGAGAAACTCCACTCTTCATTGACTTCTTTGTTGTGCATCTCTGGGGAATATTTTAGCAAGAAAATGCGACAAAGGATAAGCATTCTCTTGCTCTAGATATTCCATAATCCATTAACTATATAGTACAAATCGGTTGTCCATAGATATACGACGAATATGTACCTTTTTGCCATCGTAGGAATATTAAGCATAATCTTAGTTATCAGCAGGAAACTATACAATCGATGGACTATATGTGCTGTAGGATCAGTCAGTCAGTTATTGCAATGCAAGGAAAGCGAGCTAGTCAGGACTAAAACTTAATCGTGATAAGATTTGAATTTCGATGTAAAAAGAGCCATAAAGAACTATTTACTATTTTTGCTAATAAAGTTGATGATCAAAACGAAACAGAGAATCTTTCTTGGTAAAGTCAAAAATAAAATAAAATAAAATAATAACACTAGTAGCGAAAGCAAACAACCCCGAGAAGAGACTGGGCAGGGAGCGCGTATGTGTGCGGATTTGAGATTCCAAACAAAAGACTTAAATTCAAATAAATATTGTATATTGCAGTGCACATAAAATGAATGGTTTTCTGTGCTCTACCGTTCTGGGCTCTGTGCTGTGTGCATTGCAGCTTGTTTTCACGAGTATTGTAGGGGGCATTTTTGCGCCCTTACAATTCGACATGGGGTGAGTTCAAGTAGAAATTCGACTGAGTTCGGAACAATGAAAGATTGCCCCGTCACCTGCCACAGAATTACAAAACGAATGTACCAACAGCAGCAGCAGCAGCAGCAGCAGCAAAGGCAGAGGCAGAGGCAGAGTCAGTCAGCAATCTGGGGGTAGAGTCAGTCCTGAAACATGAGCCTGTGTAGTGGACCTGCATGAATGCCACTCAAATTATTTAGTTGAATGAACCGGCAAGAGTCGAGAGAAAAACTGGAGAGGAGAGCTGACATTTTTGGCCGTTACAAAAGGGAAGAGATGGAAGGGTGAACCAGGCAGGAATCCAAAGATTCCGAAATGCTAGAGCAGGAATTCGTTGGTTTTTCTCAAACTTGTGATGATTTGAACTACTAAGCCGGATTGCAGCTCGTACCCGGCGTTTGTCATTTGTGCAGCTTTGTTGAAGGTGTCCGGATTTATCTTAACAATAATCATTATTATGGCTCGACATGGGCTCCGATTCCACTGTTGTTCTTCCTCGGCTAGAGCTGGCAACAAAGGCGCAAATACGCAGCGGGTGAGCCAGCGCTAAGCTGCATTCAATTTCCAGAATTGTCAACGAGAAGGGATGCGGCTGGGGCGGCGACTAGCAACTGGGTATGGGCACGGGCAGGGGCATCATTAGCGTTACGGGGTAGCTATATCTAGATGGCTATCGGCGGATCAATGACGGCAGATCTTACTTTCCCCCCCCCCCCTGGTTCTGTTTTATTCTATGCTAATGCACATTGCCGTAGCCAGCAAAAACAATTTGGCGATGGCCATAAGGCGATAAGCAAACCAAAATGGAAACAAATTGCCATGGACATGCTAAAAGGAGCAAACACAATGGGCAGCTTCTTCTTTCAACTGCTGTGTCAAGTGCTGGTCCACAGGGTGCGGTTCATGCACGGTCCCCAGGATACGCGGAAAGTGCACAAGAGCTGATGGATAAGTGGCCCAGAGGGCTCGATTTTCATAGATCTCAAAATAATGCCAAATGCGGTCGAGTTACATATTTCTTTTCCATTAAAATGAGTAGTGGATGAGCATAGAAAAAACTCTCTTTTCCCTCTAAAAAACTGTACCCAAGGAATCTTTCTGCAAATTATTGATTTAATGCACAGGCCATAGGCCATATATCACACATTATTGGTTGCAGCTTCTGCAATTTGTCTCTTTGCCATTTGGCAGATCGAATTTTATTTTTTCGAATTGATTGTTTTACGCCTTTTTAGCAAGAAGTTGACACAGATTCTGGATAAACCCTTTTTGCCAGTGCCAGTCTTTTTGCACGTGCAACCCCTCCAGTCAGTGGCCCGTCTGCATATGGGTAACCCTTTTTGCCTTTTTATTTAAACGCTGATCAAACATGGAAGATTCGCTTTGGTGCTAGAGCTACACGTTCATTTTTTGGCGGCAAGTTGCTCGACCTTTTTACCCATTCATTGCCCTGCTCGAATTGGTTTATCTGTAAAATCTGTGACGTTCAACGTTCAGCATTAGGCGTTCAGCGTTCGGGGTGCGTATTCGTTACTCTTACCGAAAACAAGGTCCTGTCGTTGATGCCTGCCTGTGCCTCTGCCCTACCTTTGTCGCTTTTGAGTTGTGTGCTCATCTAACCGAAAAACATTGGATAAACAAACAGCCGTTCGAGTATTTTGTTACACTGTATGAATAACCTGCACCAGTACCCATCCCATACCCATATCCTTACCCTGCCTCTGCTCCTATTTATTTCTCAATAAGTTCGCTGCAAAAGGAAACCAATCTGTCGCATTTGTGTGCATGCTTGGCCCACGGGATGGAAACTGTAAAATGTTATGCAAGTTCTGATTTTTAATCCGATCAGAGCGGTTTTAGTCAAATTTAAGCAGATTTATGTCACATTGTTGAGCCGAAAAGTGGTACACGAAAAGACACAAAACACAATAGGAAGAAATGGGTAAAGAAAATGCTAACACATGTAAATCAAGAATCAAGATAACTATATCGCCCATGTTCCAAATCGAATCGAGATCATGTACGACAATTGCAACAAATTTGATTTAAGTTGCGGCAAATTGAATGGGGGAGGAAGAGGCAGGAAATGGAGTCTTGGATTGGTTGGAATAATTGTTATTTGATGTGGGGGAATCATTTTAATGGAGGGAATATTTAGATGTAGGAATAGTTTAGCAATTCTGTTAATTAATTTTCAGGTGGCATTCAGTTTATAAATAAAGCAAATAATATGGCAACTGCAATCGTATGATAATTTATAGAGAGAGTTTCAAAAATCATTTTGAATTATTTTGCAACCCCATAGAGGCATCATTTTGTATGCCAGTCCCAGAATGAAGCAAGGAAAAAAGAAATAAATGTATTTATGTACATTTTCCATTTCCAAATGAATAAACTGTTAGACAAACAATACATTAAACTTTACAACTTCACACCCGCTGCTGTACGTTGTATGGAATGCATTAGCATTGGGAAGGCAGGGCTGATTCCCTCTAGCAATTCGTAGTGGTAGTCCTGGTAGCCTGTACCACAAACGATGAGTTGATTGTTATGCAAATGAGGCAGGAGCAGGAGCAGGACCAGGACGAAATGCGAGTGGCTCAACCCTGTGCCCAGAGGCTGAGCTGCCTGCAGTTCATCAAGTGGTCATAAATTTGTACATAGTTGGACTCAGAGAGAGAGAGAGAGAGGACGAGCACGGAGCCATCTAATTACTATGCAGCGCCATGTGCATAATGAATCTGACATTTCTAATTTATGGTTTTATATTTGTTAAGGTTTTTTCTCAGTCTCTACTCGTGCATAAATTGAATGCAAAGGTTGGGCCCTAAAATGTCGACAAAACAACGGTTTCATGCCTAGTTATTGTGGAGTATAAACAACGGACACGGACTACGGATAATTGAAAGGTGGCAGAAGCTGTTCGTGCCCTTGCCCCTTGTCTGCATGGTGCAAATCCTTTGGTTTGTTTTCCCATTGATCAACTGTCGCTGCTGGATAATTCCACTTCCGGCTTAGGCTGGAAATTCGCGCGAAAATCCCGCCATAGTTCCATCATTGTGAGGTCTGACATACACCCAAAAAAAAAGAGGAAAACTTGCCAAAAAATTGCAATGAAAATGCTGGCAAAAAAGTACCCCAAAAATATATTGCATAAGTCGGCAGCCGAAACAAGTAGTTAACTGCAATTACGCAGACCCATCTGGCGGGGTGTGTGTCACGTACTAAGTCCCTTTTTATGGCACTGGCACCTCGCCCTGCGACCGTTATGATTTCCTTTCATTTTCACTTTTATTTCGGGATATGCACGCAAAGTCTGTGGACTATTTGTTGCACGGAAATATGGCCCGTGGGCCTCAGTCTCAGTCACATTAATTGTTTGCTTTGTGTGCCAGCCGAGCAGTTTGGACATCTGGCCAGCTGCCTGACAGCTCGACTGACTAACTGTCAGGGAATAGTACGAAGAATCTGGGGTAAAAAGTCGATATGTGCTGGGACACCTGCAGAGCAGGAGAGCGGGAGCATGGGGGAAGTCTCTAAAGCTGCCAACACTTGCGGATCTCCCACACTCTTAAGCTCTTTGGCGCCGTAACTATCCATCCATCCGCTGGTATTAATTGGCGATTACCGAAACGTAGAGTTGGCGCCTTGCCGGAGCATTGTCACTCGGCTCTGAAGTGTGATTTATGAGGATGACATCGCCAGTCCATCAATCATCCATCATTGTGTTCAAGTGGAAGGTGATTTAGCAAAAAAGAACAATGGCCAGATAGCTGTAGCTGTAGCTGTAGCTGCCATCCAGGTTAGTGCGGGTTTTATGCTAATTGTAAAATTGTGATTTAAGCTGAAGAATTGTGCGGGAAATTCGCTTTTAATTACAGTCCGTCAGTCTGTTGTTCTCTGTGAGGGTTGCTAACCCCCAACACGGCTTTGACCCGACACGACACTTGATTTGCTGTCTTGTGTCGTTGTTGTTGATGTTGTTTCGCTTTAAAAAGTTATAAAAATAAGTCGATGGAACTACCAGCAGCAACCCTCGTACCAGCACAGTTCATCTTGCACCCTTTGACTTACTCAGCAATTGGAACAGGAAACACAGGGTGTCCGGGGGCTGGGCCAGCATCATCCCCTGTTCGTTTCTTTCGCCTCTCGTTCTCTCGCTCTCTCGGGTTGCCAGGGGCTAATGAGCGCCGCACATTAGTTTTAACAACATTTATTATTTATGGGTTTTTCCTTTCGTCCTTTGTACCTCCACCCTGGCCTTGCCTTTGGCTCGAATGTTTGCTTTGGACGGATACATTTACACTTGCCTGCCCGTGCATAGTGACGCACTTCCCGAATGAATTTGAAATGAGAGTTTTTGCAATTTTTACTCGCATAAAGCAGGGCAACTTTAATTGCAATCTGCACAGAGCAGCCAACAGATCGTTGGTGCTTAAAAGTGTTTACAAAGGGCAGTGACGAAGCATTATAGAAATTTGTATTTACCCAGCGTTTGGGGTTTGTGTAAATTAATTGCTGGACTGACTGCACTGCAGATTATTTGGGGATTTGCAGTGGTAAGATGGGAGTGAACATAAGCAGTGCTGCCTGGAGAAAGCAGTTCACAGCTTGCTGGAATTTCTAGACAATTTATTTGCAGAGAAACAAATTGTTTGATGGCAACAATAAATGTTAAAAAAATATTTAAAATTCATAGAATACACAGAATACATTAAGAAAGGGTACAACCATGTTTGCTATATTTATTTACATGTATGTCCTCACTTTATGCCTTAGTTAGTTGCCATCCAAAAGAGACTTCCCATCGGTACTTATAGCTGCACCTCTGCACGTTTCCATATTGAAGGAAGGGCATGGGCCTGGCCAGCAGCAGCCTGATTGCTTTTAGTAGGTGAAAACAATTTCATTTGCATATCACTTCACACCTACAAACGCGTATATCCACAGACCCCAACCAGGCACCTCCCAGTACTCCCTAAAGCCCAACGCCAACGCAAACCTTTTGGAAAATGACTAAAATGCTCTCGTTTTTTTTTCGTATGTGTATTTAATAGAACTTATTTGCACACATGTTCACATTCGACAAACTACTTAGTCTCGTAAATATATATTTACCTAGTAGCAGAAACATATGCAAACTGTTGGTGAAAAATGTGAAAGACTCACGCACATGGACATGGACTCTGACTCTGACTCCGATTTGGACACTGCTGACGAGGATTTGAATGTGGAGCTGGAAATTGTTTTGCATTGTTTTGGAGTGATATTTATTTTGCACTTGTTCGACATGTTGTGGGCAAATATACGATAAGATAAATAGGTTTAAAGGTAGTACAAGTAAATGCATTTCCATTCACACCAAAATACAAATCAAAAATCGCTCAGATTCGAGCAAAGGCTCGTATTTCAGGCGAACAAATGACACAAAGAACTGACTCGACTTAGGGCTAAGCTCTTTCAGTTGATTATTTAAGTAATTGCTAGACTTTATACACGCTGCTTAAGCCTAAACTTAATTAAATTATGTATAAGATATGTACGCTACACACTAGATCACGCGCATAGTATGCTTAAGCTTATTATGGACTGTTTTGGCATTTCCCAATCTGCCAATTAAAACTCTCCCAGTTCGCAGCGATCCTAGCTGCTGCTCCTGGGGAGGCCTAAGTCTTGTGCACTAATTAACTAGGGACCTGGAACGGACCGTGCAGAAGATAAGCTGCGGCTACAAGGGCCCATAGATTGGCTCCGAGTAGAGCACGGCGGGCATCGAGTAGCTGTATGAGGTGGGTGTGTGCTCCGTGGGCGAACGCAGACTTGCCTGCAAACTGCGCTTGCTGTGCCGCTTGAATCTGTGTGGGATAAAGGAAACATTAACCATCCTTATGGGGATCACTCTTGACTCACTTCTTCTTCAGGCAGCAGGCGGTGCACAGTGAAATCAATGCAGCCAGACCTATGAGCGTGGCCAGGAACACCAGCCAGGCGCCTGCTGATGTCAACATTCCGGCGAAAATGGCCGCCGCATGAACCCTTCGCACCGAGCAGGACTCCACCTCGCTGACCCCGTAGGCCGCGTAGATATCGATGAGTTCCTGGCGCAGCTGCTGTGAGTTCATCAGCTTCTGCATCTCCCTGAGGGACAGGGCAGTGCCGTCCTTGAACATCTGAAAGCACGAGCTGGTGGCGGTAAAGTCCAGACTCATGTCGGGACGTGTGAAGACCTGAGTGTCGAGCACATGCAGCTCCAGGCCCAGCGGCTTGAGTTTCTTCTGCAACTGCTCCTGGAAGGGGCGAATGTTGTGCTGAATCTCGTTGGGCGGACGGGCAAAGACGAACTTCAGCAGCGACTTGTCGCGTATGACGAACACCTTCAGGTGGCTGTGTGCCTGTCGCTTGGGCTGAGCCGAGTTATTGGCAGCCACGCGCATGAGGAAGTATCCATCGACGTAGTCCAAGAAGGAGCCACCAGTGCGCAGCTCCCCCGTGCGATTGTTTAGGGTGAAAAGATTCTGAAGGTTGCCCACGGCCAGCTGCCGGCTGCGCTTATAGAACTGCGGCACAAAGGTGACATTCTCGATGGAGAGCGTAATGGGTGGCGCCTCGGCATCAGCATCGCTAGCACGCAGTGTCGTGACCACCGTGTCGATGGGCACATTAATGCGAATGCCCACCGTGGGATCCGGTTGCTCGAACTGCGGCAAATTGTCATCGATGTCGAGCACTCTGATGGCAATGCGCAAGTGCGAGGGATCCTGACGATCATAGGCATCCCCGATGAACTTGTAGCCGGGCTCACCCAGCTTCAGGCACTTGACGGTCAGCAAGAAGGACTCGACCAGCTCTCGATCGATGGGCTGGCTGGTCTTGAGTAGAGCCAGACTATCGTTGGTGCGCTCAATAGTGAAGATCTGCTCGTTGTTGCCTTCAATGATGACATAATCGATGGCTGCATTCTCGCCCATGTCCTCGTCCACGGCACTGAAGCTGCCGACAACTGTGCCAGCAGGTTCTGCCTCACTCACAGACATGGCCAGGGGTCCTTCGTCCTATAGGGAAATGGAAAAAGTTAGTTTATTGATTTCTTTTTTTCTACTTTTACTTACAATTTCCCTGGCAAAACGCGGCTCGTGATCATCCACATCCAGCACGGCAATCTGCAGAATGCGCGTCACCGATTGCTTCGGCTGTCCATTGTCGCTGACTTCCAGTATGATTTTGTACATATTCTTCGTCTCACGATCCAACGATTGTCGTGTGGTGATCAGTCCTGTGTGGGTGTCAATGGCAAAGGCCTCGGCATCCACAGTGTCTGGCAGTATGCGATAGGTGATCGTGCCCGAGGGTGTGCTCTCATCGTCCGGATCATTGGCAATCACTTGGAACACGGGCGCTCCAATAACAGCATTCTGAAAGGTGAATGATGCATAAATATATCCAAATATATAGCCCACAAAAATCTCATTTTACCTCTGTTACATTCGCCATTTGTCCCACGCGTGGCGCCACAAAGTATGGCACTCCATCGTTGGCGCTCACATCGCCTATAAATATTCTCACATCCACATCGGTGGAGAGTGTTGGCTGCTTGGGCAGCTGTCCACCATTGTCCTGGGCACGCACGATCAGAATGTACGGCTCCGCACGGCCCTTGCCAGTGAGATTGCGGCGTGTGGAGAGCAGACCGGTCTTTGGATTAATCTTAAACAGGCCATTGGCCTCCCCCTCGTTGACCAGCTCGTAGCGCACTTCACCGCCCAGACCCTCATCCGCGTCGAGAGCCTCCAGTTGGAGCACAAACGAGTCGATCTGCGCATTCTCCGGAATGACTGTGCTGTACTTTTTCTGTGTGAACGCTGGAGCATTGTCGTTGACGTCCAGCACATCGATTAGCAGATCCACCACACTCTGCTTGGCATCTGTGGGCTTGCCCGGCGAATCCTCAGCCTTCACCTGCAGCCGAATGTGTGGCGTGCGTTCCCGATCGATGGTCTGATCGCGGGCCACGATCACCTCGCCAGTGAGGTTGTTGATCTCAAAGAGCATCGCGTGCTCGCCCTGCAGCGAGTAGACAATCTTGTGGTAGCCCAGACGCTCATCCCTGTCATTCAGCTCGGCATCCTTGTCCAGCGCCCGCACGCGCACCACCCGCTCCGGGTGCATTCGATTCTCGATGATCGTGGCACGGTAGGAGCTCTGCTCGAACCTCGGACTGTTGTCGTTCACGTTCTCCACGCTGATGTTGAGCCGACTGACGGTGCTCCGCTGGCGATCCGCACTGCTGGCACGCACCTGCAGCTCAAACTCTGGGCCATAGCCAGCCTCCGCCAGTGCCTCGTAGTCGAGGCGCTTCTTCAGGATGACCTCGCCGGTGCGTTCCGCTATCTGGAAGTACTCCAGCTGCTTGGGTTCGATCAGCTCGAAGCTGGTTATGGGCTGACGTGTCACAGGATCCTCTGCCTGCAGAATGAACAGCGCACTGTCGATGGGCATTTCCTCCTTGATCTTGATGTCTATCACGGGCCGAGAGCTGCTCCAGCCGGGATTCTTGAACACTGGATTGGTGTCCTGGAAGGACTGCACATAGACAGTCACCTCGGTGCTGTCCACCTGCCCCTCGGGATCCACCTCTGCATTCAAATCTCTCACTTGCACCGTGAAGATTATGATGGCAGCCACATCGTGCCGCAGCGAGCTGTTCACAAAGATCTCCCCGCTCTGGCTGTCGATGCGGAAGGCCTCCTGCACGCGGTAGCTGCTGCGATTTGTGATGCTGACACCCGCCTTGGTGGTGGCCTGCACTCCACCCAGCAGACTGTACTCCAGTCTCGAATTGAGATCCTTGTCAATGGCCTTTACACGCAGCACGCTCTCCCCAATGGCTGTTCGCTCGGACACATAAGCCGCGTAGCTGGCCTGCTCGAACTTGGGTCGCTCGTCGTTGATGTCCTTCACGTTCACATAGACCGTGCTGGTGGCAGTTTCCGGTATGGGTGTGCCCGAGTCCACGGCATTTACGATGATCTCAAAGCTATTCATATTCGAATCACGATCGATGTGCGCCTGCGTGGAGACTGTAATGACACCGGATCTACAAAAGGGGCGAGAGGTATTCATGAAGTAAAACTCAAGCAATCCCGTGGCTGTACTTACTCCTCATCAATCTCAAAGTTATCGTTGGCGCCCACTATCCTGTAACGCAGCAGACTGTCCAGACCATCGGGATCGTGTGCAGACACCGAAGTCACATTGTAGCCTGGAGCGGCATTCTCCGGAATGGACACGCGATAGCTGGGCGGTCCTATGATGGGCAGATTCTCGACATTTTGAAAGTGTCCTCTGAAAATGGGACGCTGATTGCCAGAGATGCCCACACGCACGAGCACACGTGTGGTGTTTGAGAGTGGGGGAACACCTAAAGAAAGAGACCAAAATTAAACTCTCAAAATAGAGGAAAATAATCCCAAGACTTACCAAAATCTGTTGCAGAGACCAGCAGCTCGTACTCGCCGCGTTCCGTGTCCATGGATCGAGCTGCCTTTTGGATGATAATCTCGCCCGTGTCCGGCTCTATGCGGAACACATTCCCCGCTATGCTGTTCTCCGAGACAATGGCATAGGTGACCCGTCCATTGCCCTGGGTGGGACCATCCGAGTCATGGGCACGCACAAAGAACTGCGGCTCAAAGATGGCCGCTCCCTCGCGAATGGTGCGACTGTACTCTTTGCTCTCGAAGCTCGGATGATTGTCGTTGACATCGACAACGCCGACGAAGAGATTCGCATTCGACTCCCGACCACCACCATCGACGGCCACAACTGTCAGGCTGTAGCTGCTCTGCTTCTCGTAGTCCAACTGCCGCTGGAGGTAGAGGCCGCCCGTCTCGGAGTCCACATTGAAGTTGTCCGCTCCAAAACCCTTGAGCACATACCTCACGCGTCCGAACTCACCGGAATCTGCATCCGTTGCTTTGACATGACCAATGAGCGCATCGATGGACATGTTTTCGGCTGCGGTAAAGCGATATGTGGGCTGGGCGAACACTGGAGCATTGTCATTGGCATCCAGCAGGTGGATCTCCACACGAGCCTTGGCCTTCTCCACACCCTTTACCTGGGCCACCAAATCGAATTCGAATTTGCGCTGCTCCGGATCGGGTACATCGTAATCCAAGCGACTGGCATCCAGAACTTTGACCACAACAGGAGTACGACCCTGCGCCTCGGTGGGGGAGATGGCAAAGACGCCCTCGGAGTTGGCAACATTCCGCAGGGCCAGCTGGTAGCGACTGTTCTCGCCCATGTCCCGATCATCGACGAATATCGAGAGACCCGGCAACGGCATACCGTTGGCCAGATTCTCCGCAATCGAGACATTAAAGTGGGAGGCACTGAACGTGGGCTGGTGATCGTCGACATCCGTTACGACGATTGTGACGCGCGTTATCGAGTGCTCGGCAGGAATGGCACCGTCAATCAGTTCGGTGGCACGAATGGAGAACACGTAGACGCCGCCGTTCTGCAGTATCTCCGCATTCTCGCGATCCAGCGGCTCCGCCGTGGTCTGCAGCACAGCGCTACCCTCTCTGGGATCCCCGAAGGGCACCAACTCAAAGTGACCGAAGGGTTCATCCTCCAGCGATAGGAATATATCCCGTGGTATGCCCACATCCCCATCAATGGCCTTGACAGTCAGAATGCTGACTCCAGCTGGTGTGTTCTCCGCTACAGTGGCCGAGTAGGGGGCATTGGTGAAGACGGGCGGCTGATCCTGTATGTCGATCACATTAATCGAAATGGTGGCCAGCGAGGAGAGGCGATTCTCGTGCGCACTGTCCGAGGCCGAGATGGTCATGATGTACGATGGACGACTCTCAAAGTCCAGCGGCTGCTTCAGCGCCACTCGAGCGGTGTAATTTCCATCGGAGATTTTCACGGCACGCACGGCAAAGATGTCGCAAATGTCGTTCTCCTGGAAGAGGTAAGGAAATTTAAGATTTCTCTCTATATACAAATTTCTCTAAGTCTCACCTCGACGCAGCTCAGCTGCACCTCAGCATTGATACCCTCATCACGATCCACGACAATGATTGCTGGCTCCACATTCAGTTCGGCGCCCACTGGCAGGGATTCGCTGGCGCTGGCTGTGTAGGGTCTGCCGATGAATGTGGGCTGATTGTCGTTGTAGTCCCGCACGGGTATCTCGCGACGCTGCGACACCGTGTTGGGCTCTGTGCCATAGACGCCCTCGTCGGTGATGCTGATGATCACCTCGATGGTGTCTTGCGTCTCCCGATCCAGTTCCTGCCGCAGTCGCACCACGCCCGTCTCCCGATCCACCGAAAAGACTGGCCCACTTATGCTGTACTTGAGGCGGCCACCCTCCGGATCGGTGCCTGGGTAGAGAGAGAGAGAGAGAGAGAGAGAGAGAGGGAGATAGAGAGTGCAACAAAATTAGTTGGAGAGTAAAGCGGTTTGTCGGTCTATCATCCCACTGCTTGACACGCTCACTGCTTTAATTACGAGTTATCCGAGCTAACGTCATAGCCTGTCACTTCATGGAAGTCGTTCAGTAGTGCCAGTGTTACTTCCCGACTCCCCCGGCGATGGGGGGTTTTATGTAAAAGCGTGTGAAAAATGCTAATTTAGTTCCCACAACCTCCTTCGCCTTCTGTGTGTGTCTTTCTAGTCGAATGCGTTCGCGGTCTATGCGCGCCCTATGCCGGTAAAACGGGGCCAACTAACTAGTTGGGAGTTGAGTCGGTAAGCAGTCGCGTTTCTGTCTACCACTAAGTGGATTGTGTCATTCCCCCGGCAATTTCTCTTTCTCTTTGCTCCAGTCTAATAACAGGAAATATAAGTAAATCCAACAAAAATATACAACACCAAAGCCAGATCCCAGCTTGAGGGCAACACGAAATTACTTTGGAAATTCTTTCAGAGCAATGCTGGAGGGCAGGGAAAGGGGAAAAATAACTGGAGAGAAAACAAATGAACCCGAGAAGAGCTTACCAAAGGAAAACAGAGAGCAATAAGCGGTCGGGAAAACTGCTTTTGGCACTGCTTGCCTGCCTGCCAGATTTTTTCAAGTTTGCTCTAACCATTCAGTGGGGTACTCCGACAGTGGCGGTGGGGGGATCTAAGAGTTGTTGGCTATATGGGAGCGGGTCTGTTGTGGACCGACAATTGCAGCGCACGACCAGAAAGACACGACACAAAAGCGGGAAGCAAACAACAAACAACCGAGGCAACCCAACCGCTCCTCCATTTCACATACACTATTGTACATATGTACAACCAAAAACATAACGATTGCGGTCGCCAACCCAGTCCCGTGCTTCAACCCCGTTCCCCGCTTTATGATCGTTGCATTCCGCACCTCACTATCACCATTCCCACTCTCCCCTTGCATTGGGCGCGTGAGTGACCGTTTCAACTTTTCAATGTACATAATCATACTTATATTTCGGGTTTACACATATTCATACCTTGTAGACATCGGATGGTTGGGTATATAGAGTTTAGCTACTAAGAAGATACACATCTTCTGCGAATCAAATGACAAATGAAGCCACCCACAGTGGCTAATCCCGCACCTTCACTTTACTTTCAATGCTTATTTGGAGCGACATAAATTGCTAGTGAAGATCTCAAAGAAGATAACGATCAGCAGAGTAATGTATGAGTGAAAGGGATGAAGCTATGTCTGTTCTTGTTTGCGCACGCTCGCCGTTTATTTGTTTACATTACAATGGCAGTGGAGAGAGAATGCAAAAGAAGCAAGGAATAACGGGAGCTGCTGCGAGCAGAATAACCTGAAGTCTTTGGAGGTGCAATGTATGAAGATATGTATGTAGGAAAATACATAATTATGTACATACAGATTCCAAACTGCAATATCTTGGGCTAATCTCTTTTTAATATAATTGCAGTACAATCTCGTATCTGGCAAATGTAAATTCAAATTAAATTGAAATTATTTTTACTTGCAGTTTCTCTTCAACGAAAAATGATCGCTCTGTAAATATTTATTTATGGATATATAATGTTTGTGCAGGGTATTCTTCAAGTCAAGCCTTCCTTTGTCTCTACACACACCCGTTCTTACTCGTTTTCTCTTCTTCTTAGGAATTCTCGTGCTCCGCATGTACACATGAGTTAACAAAGTTTTGGGTAAGAGTTTTTTTTTGTTTTTGGGGGAAAAGTGGAAAAGCTGAATGAACACTATAATTGCGGGTACATGCGAGATGTGGGTAAAAAGCTTTTCTTCTTTTCACTTGGTCCATCCATCCCAGATATCGTTGATCGTTGCCCGGCGGGGGTGGATGTGTTCGTAATTGTTGTAGTAGTTGCTGGTTGCTGTTGGTTGATGTTGATGCGGCAGAAATAATTTGTGATTTCATGCTTCACGAAGCGTATTTGTTAATATTTGGCTCTTTATTACACACTGAATACGTTGGGTTTTCTTTTTCGTTTTGGATAACCCGAGAGAAACGCCCGACACACCCGCCACCGCCAGCCATGTGCCAACATTCGGACAATTATTTTATGCTTTGCGTAGCCCCTCCACTTCACTCCATTTCCATCCATTCATATGGGCAGACCAAAATTTGTAATTAAGTAGCTGATTAAGCTAAACGAAACTTAAGACTAAATTGAAAGAAGAGTTTCAGAAACATGCTTTGTAAATTGCTGAATAATTCCATAAGCCAGCTGTGGTTTCAATATCGGAACTCTCGAGTGCGGAATATGAGCAAACTGTTTGCTGTTTCCCAGGCAATAATGGAAGTTATGCAATTATTGTGGTGTTCAATATTGATTTCCCGTCTGAAGTTATGAACCAGATGCAGCTGGACATTTGCTTCCTAGCTCACAGTTTAGGCAAAGCAATTTTCATTTTGGTCTGGGCAGTTTTTCAAATTGGTTTTACAAGTGTTTGTTTTGGCCATGTTTTTGTATGCTTGGCCTGCCCCGGCCTGGCTTGGCACTTTTGATTTCAAACGCAGCAAACGTGTTTTGTATCTCACGGATGCTGCTTGCAAAACGAACCTGATGAGAGGCCGCTCACCCAGTCGCAGTAACAGTCTCAGTTACAGTTACAGCAACAATCCGGCCAGGCCAAGGCGATTTGGCACACGCTCAGCAGCAGCCAGCCCCAGCCCCAGCCAGCCCCCAAGCAACCAGTTAAGACAATGCTCCATCTGATTATGAAGTTGGCGGCGCGCCTGATGAAGTTGCAGTGGCATCAAATTGCAGGCCTCTCCGTGTCTGCTATGGAATCGCATCTGTAACTGGGTACGCGGACTGGGCCTCTGTGTTAGGGTGTCAACTGTGGAGCAGGTGGATCAGGTGGAGCAAACAAGATCTGCTCAGTGGCTTGTGTTGGCTGTTGAATAATCATTTTTCGAGGGAGTGACGGGCCTGCCTCCTACTCTATGCTGATTGAGACAAGACTGCCATTTGATTGCCAACTCAACTCTCGATTGATTGGCACTCTCAATCGGAGTAAAAGTGTGGAGAGCATTCTAAAGCAAAAGCGACTAAAGACTATCTAATGACGGGCACCCATTACAGCAATCATCATTACCGGATCTATGGCTGTCAGTGTTGTCTGTACGCACAAACGTGTTCAAATGCATTTCCGCATGTCTATCCATCAGATACAGAGACATCCATGCATACATATGTATCTGTGTTTGTTTTTGTTTGTTAATTGATTACCAAACTGCATTCTTGGGCGCAACTTGCCAAAAGCAATAAAGTGCTCATATCTCAGTGGCTTATCGCACATTCTGCCAGATCTCTGCAGTTGCATTTTTTGTACGGCATTCACATTGTGTAATCGCATATACACATATGTCTCTACAGATACGTATGTTCATATCTGAGGCCGATATGCCGCTGTAAACGTGCTGCCACCATAATAATAATCCAATACCCCACACAAGGTTGCCTCCAAGTAGGTGGCGTTGTGGCCAGAGCCAACCCAAAAAAAACCAAAAAAACGCTGAGCCAAGAAATGAAAGTCAGCACGGGTAATTTGAGGTATGTCCAAAATCCAAGTTACAAAATTATTAAACACTTAAGAGCCAGCAGCAGAGGGGGAGTATGTGTTCGGGGATACCCTCTAAAGTTGGTTTTGCTGGAAACTTCGAGCTAGCAGCGCAAGAAACATATTTTATTTACGCAATTGTAAGATTTTTATATCATAATAAATAATAATTTAAATCATTTGAAAGCTGCTTTCAAACACTGACAAAACACTAGACGCAATCTGTTTCTTTTTACACAGAATTAAATATTAATTTTATGGATGACTCAATAATGTACCCAGCCTTCCAGAGCATTTCATTGTTAAGCTTTGATTGAAACTTTTCTTCCTAGAAAGATTACATTCTTTAGCTACCCAGATAATACTTAATCAAATGCTCTTTGCTATCCCCAGGGCGCCTGCCTATCATCTCGTTGGGTTAGTGGGGAAGCTCTTTGTTTTTCAATAACAACAAACTCCCGAACTGCCTGACTGACTGCCAGTGAAAGGCATCTCGGCAAACTTGCGTGGGAACTGGGCTATTGTTGAACATTGTCTCAATGCTGCAATGAAAGCCATGCAGCAATTTCGTATAAAATTATGAAACGTAATGCAAACGCTCCATGACTCCCCCTCGACTAGGCCAGTGCCCCAGATCTACCACAAAGCCCGGGAAGAAGTTCTAGATTAATGGGACAGGGAACGTGTTTTTGTGGGAGTTTTCTTATCCGTGTAGCACCCACAAATAACTTAGTGGCAGTGTCACTTACCTTTCAGCTGGAAGATGGGACTCCCGACTGGCGTGTTCTCCGACAGGCTGAAGCGGGACATGTCTCCTGTTCCGGGCACAAACTGCGGCGGATGATTCAGCAGCTGAGCCATGGAGCGGCTGGAGCACAGCAGCAGCACTAGCAGAAGGGGCAGCCCCAGCGGCAACATGTTGCCGTTGCTAATTTCACTGCCGTTAGGTATTTGTATCCGTTAGCTCGCCGAGATTTTGTGGCTATTTACTTTAGTTTTTAGCACATAGATTTGATAGAATGACAGACACAGTTTCGATTTAATACCGCTCGCAGCTGGGCTCGTACTGTGCTGACTGCTGCCAGAAAATGCAAAAGCAAAATTTCTTGTTATTCATTTGTACCGAAACAATAACTATTTTCAATGTTAGCTGCAACCCCACACCCGCCCCCAGTTGGCCTTGTCCGGCCACAGTACAGAGAACAGAGAGATCTCGCTCTCGAATGGAATCTGGCTGAGTTTGCTGTTTCAGTTCTAGTTTTGGCTAATCGCAGCCTTGCCGTTTGAACTTTTCCAGCGGCACTGTGGCTACAGCTTTCAGCACATTCGCTTTGATGGGCAATAAAACAAAAATGAACAAGACCATTTTCTAGACCAGAAGCTGAACAAGAGAGCTGAGAGCAGCGCAGCAGCGGGAGCGGACAGCTAAATTTCACTTTATGCACATGTGAAAAGTAGCACATGATGATGAGGTGAGGCGGCTGCTGCGGCTGCTGGCTGGACGGGAGTTCCGATCATTGGGCACTTCTTGGCGATTGGCAAACGCTGCGAAGATGATGATGGCTTTCTTCGCTGGCACACACACACACACACACATATACAACACATCAGCAGCTCATCACGGACGGACAAAAACACACAACGAACAGGCGAAGGAAAGCGGAGGAACAGACGCGCGGCAAAGCTAAGAGAAGAGAAGAAGGCTAGCCGAAAGAAGGGGACGAATATTTAGATACCCTAGCAGATTCATGGCGAATTCAATTTTGGTTTATTAGACATTTTTTACCGTCGAAGTATGTATATTCTGCAAGTAGTCAAAAACACACACAGACACTGCTTGCCATAATCTGCAGACTCTGAGCTGAGCCCATAGTCCATGTACACTCGCCTCGCGCGTACATATATCTACGAGTTCTCGTTTTGGGCAAAAAAGAACAACAAAAAAGAGAGGGAAAAACACCATGACAGAGAGAGAGAGAGAGAGAGAGTGAGATGGAGTGAAAAAATGCCTGTTTCAGGAAGCAGTCCCGTCCAGTCCTCTCCGCTTCTAAATGCAAGTGTAAAATCCACAAAACTGTAGTTCTGACTGAAGACTCAGGTGCAATTACTTTGGCCCAAAACACTAATTAACACTAATGCCCATTTAAGTTCAGCTATTTCCCATTATAAGTATTTTGGGTTCGTTTTGCTTTCGGTTTGGCCAACAACGCACGCAAAAAAACACACACACACAAACACACACTCTTGAAAACGGCGAATGGATGACGCTAGGGTCCGAAACTTGATCTTGGCCAGGCCACTCGCGACTTCTTGTTGTTGTTGTTGTCTCACTCACGGTCTCACTCACGAAACGGTACGGAACTCGAATTCGAAGCGCGGCAACGTCTGGACGGAGCGACGCCTGTTTACCTTCTGTCTGGTAGGTGACTCTTACCTGTTGCTGTCGTGCTGCCGCCTCGCCCGTTCTTGGCTCTCAGCTGCTGCCGCATACTGGTTTCTTGTTGTTGCCGGCTCCCAGTGGTTTCTGTCCCATTTCGCGCATGCGCAAAACGATTGGCAATGGAATGCCCAAGCTGGCCTGAAAACTAACAATACTTTTGGGCTTGCTCAGTAAGCGTGATGTATACTTTTATGCAGCAAGGGAAAGTGAAACAAGCACTTTTGTAGGGTGGATGAACTGCTTGCAGGATGAAAAAGAGCCAAACGCTATGTATTGCTTCAGCCGGATAAAAGTGGATAAACTGCTTGCAGGAGTGCTTCAAGCAGTCCAGTGCGGTTCTTTTGAATGTTGACTGCTTTCAACCTTGTTCCTTTGTCGAATATAATTGTAATAGAAACCAGTTGTAAATATATTGATTTAACTTTTACACTAACTAAAGGCTAAGATACAGCTAATACAGCTACTATTTAGAGTTAGAGGGCATCATCCACGTGGAATTGTATCAGATCCTCAACGGGAAAGCGAAAGAGCGATGCTGTCTGTGCCTCTGCAGCCAGTTGCTCGATATTGGCGCTCTTCTGATAGCGAAAGTGTTCATCCACTGGATGATGATGATGATGTTGCTGATGCGTCTGTGGCCTGTGGTGGCGATGATCGGTCCGGAAGCTGGCCAGAGAGGCTGCCTCTGGCATCTCAGCTGCCACAATCGGATGCTCAAAGTCGATGAGGGGCAGATGGTCGCTGCGTGAGATGGAACTGGAGCGATTCACTTGCGGTTGCTGCTGCTGTTGCTCCGTTTGATTGAGAGATATCTGCTGTGACGTCTGCTGTTGCTGTTGCTGCTGATGATTATGATGTTGCGGATGAGCAACTGCTGGTGTTGCAGAGCCATTGCCTGCCTGACGCGGCTCTATGGGGCTCGGGGGATTGGGTGGCGGCAAATCACTCGAGTTGATCGTGTTCCGATGCAAGTTGTGGTTGTAGAATGGATTCGTGGATGCGCGTATTGTTGCCGTGGGCTTTTGCTTGGGAAACACATTCAGATGGAGCATAATGGGACTCGTCTGTGACTCTATCGTCTGCGACTCCAACGTTTGTCCCTGTCCCTGCACTTGTCCCAGTGCCTGCACGTGTGCCAAACCCTGTCCTTGCGCATAGCCCTGGCTGTGGCCCTGCCAATGAGTCTGTCCCTGATTTTGTCCTTGTCCATATACCGGAGCATTGCCATAGATGGCCTCATCGGGATGCACGCTTTTTGGAGGAGGAAACTTGAGTGCCTGCGACTGATATAGCGCCTGCTGCTGGCTGAAGCGCCCCGCTTGGTCGGGAAAGTTGATCTGCATGTGGCCGTGGTGAGGCGCTTGGGTGGGAAATTTGAATGGCGTCTGGTAGATGCCATGCCCCAGATGCTGATAAGCGGCAGCTGTCGTTCCAGTCAATGCTGCCGGTGAAGGCATTGCGTACTCTGGCTGGAAAGGATTGCGCAGCATGGAGGCGGGTCTCGATGGTGGCATCACGGGATAAATGTCAAGATTGAGCTTGAAGGGAATGCGCTTGTGCTGCTGCGGCTGTCGTGTGGCATTCAGGGACAGAACTGGCTGTGGCAAGTGCTGGCCAAAAGGATCGGCCACATAGTGCTGCTGGCTGCCGTGCTCCAGCAACAAGTTTTGATTAGTCTGAGCCAACTGTTGTGGTTGCTGTTGCTGCTGCTGCTTTTTCTTATTCTTCTTTTTGGACACATTCTTGCTGGGTGCCAGCTGCTGCTGCTGCATGGCCAGCATATTGATGTCCTGCGGCGAGCGTGGCTTGAACGGATACAGCTGATCAATGGCCACGCGCTGATGGGGCATCACTCCGGGACCGTACCACTGCATGGGCATTGGCATGGGCATGGACATCGGCATGGACATCGGCATGGACATCGCCATGGACATGGGCATTGGCATGTGACCCATGGACATGGGCAAGGGGATGCTGAACTGCATCTGCTTCTTGTTCCGCTTGCCGCGGAAGAAGTTCCCAATGCCGCTGCTCTTTAGGTTCTTGAAGCTTCCAGCTATGTGCAGGCCCGTGGGCATCATCACCATCGGTGGCAGCTTGCTGGGACCCAGCCCATTGATGTGCAGATGCTGCAGTATGTCCTGAATGTTGTTCAGCTCCGGCCGCGGACGCTGCTCCCGCTCCGCCTCGCCCTTGGTGAACTGCTCGGGCAGCGGACCATCGTAGGGAAAGTGAAATGGTTTCGGCTTAAAGTCCTCCCGCCTGGCCAGAGTGCCCGGCGTCTCGGAGTAGTGGCGCCTCAGCAGCGTCGTTGTGGGCGGCGGCAGTGGAGAGCCGCCAGACACCTGCGGCTTGTGCGTGTCCTGGGTGGCGAGTCGTGGCGGACGTGGCATCTGATCACGCAGCAAGCCACGCAGAGGTGTCATGGTGGCTGATCGCTTGGGCAGCCGCTCATAGACATGTCCATCGTCAACATCGTTCCCCGAGATGGCGTGCTCAGGCGGTGCTCGTCTCGCTTTCGTGCGCCATGTTCCGTAGATGTGCGCCGGGGCGGGTGGGCCGTGATCGGCACGCTCCAATAAGTAGGCGGTTTCGCCAGCAGCACCCGTCGCATGCATCTGCTGGAGGTGCAGCTGCAACTGCTGCTGCTGCTGCTGTTGCCGCAGATACTCTTGCTGCTGCTCATGCTGCAGCTGCTGTAACTTGGCACGCATCTTCTCGATGTCGCTGCTGCTCTGACTCTGACTGTGGTTCAGGCCCAGGTTCTGGGTCTCACTCTGGCTGGGTATTGTTGTCTCTGCTGTGGACTCAATGTCGTTGAGTGGTTGTTGCAGTGCTTGTTGTTGCTGGTGCTGGTACAGAGCTGCTGTGGAGGCGACCTTGACTACCATGAGAGACATCTGAAAGCAGAAAGAAACGGAAAAACGCAACAGCTCAATTGTGCACTCCACCTAAAGGAAAGGAAGAACTCTTTGAATCTATACGCACAATTGTGTGGACCAATAACCAGCCCATAATCCAGTGTCGGCTGCTGCTGCTTGTGGCCAGACCAATGCCAGGGCTCGCTCTCGGACACTGTCGCGTTCTTAACTCGTTGTCTCCTGTCTGGCTGGCTGGCTGCATGGACATCTTTCCGGACTCTGTTGGCTGCTGCTCGAACCGCTCGGCTTGCCTATCGCTCTGTGAATGTGGGCACCTGGCTCGACTTCTGCCTCATCGCGGATCGCAACGACGACTGGGTGCAGTTGGGCGCCGGCAGCGCCTAAAAACTTGCCGCAGATATAGATATACATATCAGTGAGTGGCGACCGCTTAATTAGAAAGTTTAATAAAGTTTTGCACCTGCGAAAGCAAAGCAAAATACTTGCACAAGTACACCGAAATAAATTAATTGCTGAAGCGCATTCGCGCATTCGTGTTGGGTGTGTTGTGTGTGTTGTGTGTTTGCCGGCATGTGGAAATGAAAGAGATATTAAAAAAAGCATTGACCATGAAATGCTCAAGATCGCAGTGAAATGTCTAGAAATGCACCAACAGATGCACCACTGCTTAGCAATCCGAAGTACTTATGCTCTGACAGGTAGACATCTCCATTATCCAGTTGGTTTGGTAAAAGATTCTCATCGCATTTGAGGATGCCATGCACGCTCTTTATTGTTATTTTGTTGCACTCGTTAGACGTTCTTTCGGCTTTACTTTCTGAAGCAAGGATTCTCATCTCGTTACTCTGGCTACTCGTACTCGTTACTTTGATTGGTTTCGTTCTCGGGTATCTTTTTGCATTTCTTTCTGAAAGAAGCATTTTCCTCTCGTTACTCCATACTCTCATTTGGTTCCACTTTTTCAAGCTTCTTCGTTATTCTGTTAAATTCCTTCGCCTGTTTTTTCTGCCCTAATTTTTGCAACAAACCCAGTGATAAAGTCATAGAGCTCTCATTTTGGAAATCCTCCCCGCATAGATGCAGATGTTAAACGAATAAAACCAAGAGATCTCCCGGACATGATCTGCGCTCACTTCCCGTTGTTCAAATTTGATGGAAATGAAAATGCGTCGAAGTATTCGAAAATCTTATTTTATTGTTCAGGGTTTTCAGCAATCCGAATAAAGGTTTATTTAATCGTAATATAGAGCTATATAGTCTTGAGCTTGTGTGGCTTGCGTGTCATAGACAACAGACAGACACACGTCGATCGATAGCGTGTGGTGGTAGAACATAGCAAGAGTTGGATAGACTTTTTAGCTGTACACCGCATAGGGGTACACTGTATCGTAGAGACACAGCGATCCCTATAGGCTGTACCTGTATATGAGTATGCGATTCATTAATTACAAAAGTACGAATACGAATAAAAAAACAAACAATTTTCGTCCTTGCTGGCGCCTCCAAGGGTTCGTAGCACCCCCGGAAACGTTGAAGTATCGTTACACTGTATTGACTAGATCTACAATATCCAGCCCTAGACATATAGTAGCTAATGCGCTGCTAGAGACGCTCTCTGACCTCTCTCTCTCTCTCTCGGACCTAGAAGTCGAAGGGGATGCTGGGCTTCGGGTACTGGTAGCCCTGGTGCTTGGTCGTCTGTGGGGGCACGCTAGCTCTTGTCGGGGGTGGGATGTAGATGGTGGTCTTGCGGGTAGGTGGTGGCGTGGGTGGACGAGTCACGCGGGTCGTGACGGGGGGCAGGTACGTGGTGGGTGGACGAGTTGGTGGTGGGGTTGGTGGACGAGTGGGTGGGCGAGTTGGTGGTGGGGTTGGTGGACGAGTTGGAGGAGGGGTGGGTGGGCGAGTTGGTGGCCTAGTAGGAGGCTGTGTGGTGCGTACTGGTGGACGAGTGGTTGCTGGTGGTGCAGGCTTGTTAGTGGGTGGCAAGTAGGTTGGTGCTGGGGTGGTAGCCCGAGTTGGTGGCCTAGTCGGTGGACGGGTTGGAGGTGGAGTGCGTGGGCGAGTTGGTGGAGGAGTGGGTGGCAGGTATGTGGTTGGTGGACGAGTAGGTGGGCGTGTTGGAGGAGGAGTTGGAGGGCGAGTTGGAGGACGAGTTGGTGGCCTGGTGGGTGGCTGAGTGGTGCGTACTGGTGGCCGTGTGGTTGCTGGCGGTGCTGGCTTGTTAGTGGGTGGCAAGTAGGTTGGTGCAGGTGTGGTAGCGCGTGTTGGTGGCCTAGTTGGGGGACGTGTTGGTGGTGGCGTGGGTGGACGAGTCACGCGGGTGGTTACAGGTGGCAGGTAAGTGGTTGGTGGACGAGTAGGAGGCCGTGTTGGTGGTGGGGTTGGTGGGCGAGTTGGTGGCCTGGTAGGAGGCTGAGTTGTGCGTACTGGGGGACGGGTGGTTGCTGGTGGTGCAGGCTTGTTGGTAGGAGGCAAGTATGTTGGTGCTGGAGTGCTTGCTGGGCGTCGTGTGGGTGGCTGAGTCGCTCTCGTTGGTGGAGGAGTACGCACAGTTGGGGGTGGAGTGCGCACAGTTGGGGGTGGCGTACGCACAGTTGGAGGTGGAGTGCGACGAGTGGTTGCTGGTGGTGCAGGCTTGTTTGTGGGTGGCAGGTAGGTTGGTGGAGGACGAGTTGGTGGCCTGGTTGGTGGAGGAGTGGCTGGACGAGTTGCTGGCCTCGTTGGAGGAGGTGTCCTTGGTGGTGGTGGTGGTGGAGGAACACGTGTTGTCACTGGTGGTGCAGGCTTGTTAGTGGGTGGCAGGTAGGTTGGTGCAGGCGTGGTAGCGCGTGTTGGTGGCCTAGTTGGTGGACGTGTTGGTGGTGGGGTTGGTGGACGAGTGGGTGGGCGAGTTGGGGGAGGAGTGGGTGGACGAGTTGGTGGCCTGGTTGGAGGCTGAGTTGTGCGTACTGGAGGACGTGTGGTTGCTGGTGGTGCAGGCTTGTTAGTGGGTGGCAAATAGGTTGGTGCTGGAGTGCTGGCTGGACGTCTGGTAGGTGGGAGAGTGGCCCTGGTCGGTGGTGGAGTACGCACTGTTGGGGGTGGCGTACGCACAGTTGGGGGTGGCGTACGCACAGTTGGAGGTGGAGTACGGCGAGTGGTTGCTGGTGGTGCAGGCTTGTTAGTGGGTGGTAGGTAGGTTGGTGGAGGACGAGTTGGTGGCCTGGTTGGTGGAGGGGTTGGTGGACGAGTTGGTGGCCTCGTCGGAGGTGGGGTCCTTGGTGGTGGTGGTGGTGGTGGCACACGTGTGGTTGCCGGTGGTGCAGGCTTGTTTGTGGGTGGCAGGTAGGTTGGTGGAGGACGAGTTGGTGGCCTGGTTGGTGGAGGGGTTGGTGGACGAGTTGCTGGCCTCGTCGGAGGTGGGGTCCTTGGTGGTGGTGGTGGGGGTGGCACTCGGGTCGTTGCTGGTGGTGCAGGCTTGTTGGTAGGAGGCAAGTAAGTTGGTGCTGGAGTGCTTGCTGGGCGTCTTGTGGGTGGCTGAGTCGCTCTCGTTGGTGGTGGAGTACGCACAGTTGGGGGAGGAGTGCGACGAGTGGTTGCTGGTGGTGCAGGCTTGTTAGTGGGTGGCAGGTAGGTTGGCGGAGGACGAGTTGGTGGTCTGGTTGGAGGAGGAGTGGGTGGACGAGTTGCTGGCCTGGTTGGTGGTGGTGTCCTTGGTGGTGGTGGTGGTGGGGGAACACGAGTTGTCACTGGTGGTGCAGGCTTGTTGGTGGGTGGCAAGTAAGTTGCTGGCGGGCGAGTCGCGGGCCTGGTTGGAGGCGGCGTTGGAGGACGAGTCGCTGGCCTGGTTGGTGGTGGTGTCCTTGGTGGTGGTGGTGGTGGTGGCACACGGGTTGTTGCCGGTGGTGCAGGCTTGTTTGTGGGTGGCAAATAGGTTGCTGGTGGACGAGTCGCTGGCCTGGTTGGTGGCGGAGTACGCACAGTTGGGGGAGGAGTGCGACGAGTGGTTGCTGGTGGTGCAGGCTTGTTTGTGGGTGGGAGGTAGGTTGGTGGAGGACGAGTTGGTGGCCTGGTTGGTGGCGGTGTTGGAGGACGAGTCGCTGGCCTCGTTGGAGGAGGTGTCCTCGGCGGTGGTGGTGGTGGAGGCACACGAGTGGTGGCCGGTGGTGCTGGCTTGTTGGTAGGAGGCAAGTACGTGGCTGGCACGCGTGTCACCGGGGGCCTCGTCGTGGGTGGACGGGTTACCGGAGGCCTCGTCGTGGGCGGACGGGTGTAGGGCGCCTCAGTGGTGCGTGGGGGCAGATCGAACGGCACCTTCGGCGTGGGGTAGAAGTACCCATCGGCGTCACGTACCTTACGCTGCAATATACGGACTCTTTAGTTGTGGCTCTGCATCAGGAGTGGGTCCCTGGTGGGGCAGGCTCTACTTACCACATGCGTATCGGCCGTTGCGGTGGCCACCGCCACAGCGCAAAGCGCCAAGACGTACAGTGCACTTCTCTATAAAGGATAGAAGAGAGATTGAGGGTTAAGAACGCGTTGAGACACAAGTTGAGATGTGGCAGAGTGGCTCAAGTGACGTCTTCGACTAACAACTGGCTGTAACGAGCGGCTGATTGCGGCTAATTGCTCGATCGCCTTATAAGAACTAATCGCCGCTTCACGCTTGGTGGCAGCTTGGCCCGAATCGGAGACGAGGCAAGGCAAGACCGAGCTGTCGTCTCTGTGGCCTGTGGGGTTAAAACTCTTGAAAAGTTCAGCCAGAGTCACCGAGACCGGGAGGTGAAGAATTCAAATCAGTCGCAGACACATTACCATAAAATGCATTGAAAATCACTCGAAAATGTTAAAACAGACATTCAACTTTGACAGTCATTAGCAGCTCTAGGTCATGGATAGAGTTTACCCCACGAGAGACGTGCTCTGCACCCCCCTGAGACCTGCTCTGAGGCGCCATTGATTGCTCCGTAGACCTAGTAAATCTCGCAGTTTCGTGTGATTAAAACACAATGCTAATGCGACGACTGAAGATGCTCAGCGACAAACGACAACCTGCTGAAAGTCGAAGCCGAGGAAGCTGTGGTCTGCCTCTGAGTTATGGCTTCCGTTCGAATGGCTCTCCGAGTCTTCATTCATTTGCATTTGTCGCTGCAAGGTCAACGGCTAGTCTCTGTCAACGCTAATGAAAGTGTTCGTCGATGCTCGATGAGCTCAATTAATAGCCCAACGCAGAATATCTTCTTTTTTTGGGAGGAATTGTTATATAAATAGCTGATTATTATGCTAGAAACCGGACCTTCCCCGGCGACAGACCAGTTCTACGTAGAAGACCTAGCCAATGATTATATAATAATCAGCCAAGACCAAGACCAAGACCATAAAAAAATAGCGAGTAAAAACTAAAGTCAGAAATTAGCATACGCACAGCCATAAAAAAATAATAATAAAAAATAATATAACCAAATCTGTTGGATTATAACAAATACAGCGATGAGCAGCTAAGCCCAACATTGTCTGTCTTCTGTTGCCTTGCTAATTTCAACAAATATTTAACTCTTTTTTTCTGGCCTTTTCTTGTATGTAAATTATACAAAATTATTTATGCTAATGAACCCGAAACGTTTGCCAGTTCTAACTTGTTTGAATTTTCATTAAAAAAAAGATTCAAACAGACAAAAGGAATTTCAGAATCCATACAAGCGGGCATGCTTTTGATTTATGTGTTGAGAATTTGCTGGTTTTTGTCTCGAAAGTGAAAGGACACTCATCGATCTTGTGATCTTAATTCCCTTGACTCTCCATTTATGCTAATGGGCAGCTAATTAATCCGATTCACACTGCATCGAGGGCAGTTGGCACATTCAAGGGCCTGACCTTAAGACACTTATGACAGTGGCAAGTCGGCTGGAAGATGTGCGTTGAGTTCTTTTTGGAGTAGGGAAGAAATCTAAAGATTTAGCACACAAATTGGTGGATCTAAAAAAAGCGCAGATGTTGGCCACGAATCGAAGCCAGCTTCTAGAATCTAACTCGCTGCAATTTAAGCTGTTTTTATGGTTATTTACCTAAATACGGCAATTACGAATTACCAATCTTGGCAAATGTCAGAAGAAATAGTGGAAACAAGTTTCAATTTCATCTGCAGTCATGTCAGAGCTGACATAGAAACAGCAGCTGGGTTGCCCAGGCCATCTTCTAATGGTTTAATACGCAAAAGATGATTTGTGGCTCTGTGGGCGGCCCGCTGGCGCATGCGTAACATTGCACTCGTTCGACAAAGTCTCCAAGTTGCAGCGGCTGCGGATGGGACTTGCCTGAGACTTGCTTTGGCACTTGCACAATTTCTACGGTCAACCACTTTTTGCCGCTTAAATGTCAACTGGGCATCCAACAGAGAGACGAGCCGCGCGATAGCGCTCGGCTACGACAGATCCGACAAGACAATCCGTGTTAAATCTTGTAAAATGCAAATAGATACGAATTGGAATCGAGTCGGTCGATCGGTCTATCGGTCGGTCGATGCTTTAGCAATTTATTTGCCTATTTCCCTAACTGTTTGCTGTGGCTCTTCTGCTGCTTCGGGAATACTCTTTCCCCTTTTGCGACACTGTTGTCTCTCGTCTCTTGTCTCTTGTTTGTCTTTACACTGGGGGACACTTGATTTATTGGACACTTGTTGTGTTTTGGGCACACTTTGTTACTCATATTATTGTTTGTTTTTTGGTCTGAATTGATTTGATTTGGGGGTTTGCTTTACCATGTTGTACACTTTTTCTGACTGCTACAGAACGGCAGCTGTCGAGACTCGTGGAGGAGGAGTAAGGAGTTTTTTTTGTTGCTGAAATTAATCCCGATTTTCGTTAGGTAATCCTTTTTTTGCGTGCGTAATCCTTGGCGGGGAACGCGACCGATCGTATCAAAATTCAATGGTCAATTGAATTTGATCGATGCCCAGCTAAAGTTGGTTTAACTTCTAGGTCGAGTGTGGAATACCAACTAAAGCATCAAAACTTGTAGACTTTTCTATATATACTCGGACCAAGCCATCTGCCACAGTCAACCGAGGCAGCAGCAGAGACAGCAGCAGCAGCAGCAGCAGCAGCGGGCAGAGACAATGTCAGAGGCATCTTCTTCATTTGGGCGACAGCTGTTAGCACTCGCCTCGGACAGCAGCAGTCGGGGCAGCGTTGGAGAAGAAACCGAAAGCGCGACCAAGCTGAAGCTCGCTCTCTGCCCGCGCGACGTCGCGACGTCTGCCGAGGCTGACCAGGCGGCTTAACCAGTCCCCAGACCTGCTGCCCGCTGCTGTCGCTGCTTGCGATGTTTGGGAGTTAACAGACGGCTAACATGGGTTGGCCAAAAAATGCGAGTAAGGCCCTAAAGCCTCAGCAATTATGGCAAACCTGATGCGGCAGTGGCAGTAGCTACTTGTACTTGTACTACCGCATGCTTAACTTGGCCAATTTGCTGTTGGTTTTATCATTTAGCTGTCAAACACAATGCGCAGATGCCTTTTTGCCAAAAATATTAACTATTAGGTAGCGTAAGAACTGGCTACAGCGAACGGCAGGGAGACTTTTGGGCACAGTGAAATATCTCTAAAGGAAATGGCATTGAGTTTTGATTAGATTTGGGCAGAAACAAACTAAAAGGGAACTCATCCCTACTGTATTCGTATCAGATTTCTGCAAACTTTACTCAACTTTTTCACATAAGTAAAGCCAGCGAGGCAAACTCTCCCTCTTTGTGGTCTTCCACTGTAGCCAACGAGTGTTAAACATTTTGTCATGCAGCGTTTAATTTTGTAAGCGACTTGAATGCAAAATGCCCCAGCATCGGCATCAGCAGAGACCAAAAATTTCATCAATTTCATCAATCGATTGCCAGTTGCGGCGAGTCAAGGCTCCCATCGTCAGCCGAGCCGAGCCAAGGCAAGGCAAGGCAAATACGTAGAGATCATCTGTGTGTGTGTAGAAATGTGAGAAGATCAGGCGTTGGCTAATGGCAATTACCCCCCACCCGTTCGTAGGCTTACAGGCCTACATGCAGTTGCGCCCCGAGGAACATGAACCGGTTGACTTCGCGCCCAATTGCTGGGCTGGCTGGCAGACTGCTGTTGGATGCGTGCGTGCGGCGTCTGGGGGTCAGCAGTTGGAGTTGAATGTTAAGGTAGGCACACCGCAGAGTGTCATCTCTGACTCGGTTAACCGAATGACCTTTACACACACGGAGCCAGCTCGGAGATTCATTCTCTGAGAAGATCGCTCGCAGAAACCCCAAACTGAAGCTGCATCTGAGCTGCTCATCGATTGACACCAAAACTCGTTTCAGAGTTTGTCATCGCCTGCAGTTTGTTTTGCTGTATTTTGTTGATGTTTAATAACTAGAATTTATTAATTTTCGATCTCATGAGAAGCAGTCACGCCGAGCATTTGGCTTTTAATGAACCAATCAGCGGAACGCCCACAGCCCACAGCCCACAGTGGGGCCTCCTCCATGGACTCTTTTGGCCAGAGCCACAGCCACAGCCAGTGGCAATGGCAGTGCGTGGCCGGCAAATGTTCATGGGCGGACTGGGCCAGAGATCATCGCGTAATTAGACCCACACCTCGAGAGACTTTTGAGGAAGTCACCGTCACCCTCCATCTAAGTGGACATAGACGGGCGACCGTCAGGCGGCAATTAATTCTCGGCTGTAATTGCATAAGCACTGGGAAACCTCCAGCTGGCCAGCACTATTCGGGTCATAACTTGCTTTGCACATCTTTGACTATTCCTCGTCACCTCCGGAGAGGCAATGACACTTGCCAGCGACTGCCGACTGCTGACATTTCAAATTTGTCATTGCGGGGAATTCAAGTGATTTTTGTGCTGCAAAACTTCTCGCCGTCTAGAGGAAAAGCCTTTTTTTTTGCCGCATCATCGGACATTGCAACAGCCAGCAGATTATTCAGCGACATGCCATCAGTTGGCGCATATTTTTGGACTAAATCGAAGGACAATTCAACTCTAAATTACGAAACAAAATCCAAGTCAACCTGTCCCTGACATGTGCTCGTCCAACCAGATTCTAGTCCAGCCCCTTCCCTGCCCCCTTAACACTTTGTTCTCTTAGAGAATTAGCAACTTTTTAGAGCTCTTGGAAGTTCATGTTTATTTTGGGTGTTTGCCGCTTGGGCGGCTTTTGTCTCGGGTGCGGAAATCAACTCGATTGAATGTCAAATATCGATTCGGTTTCTGTTTATATCAAGCAAAAAGATCTCGAAATAGTGGATATTTCAGCAGTGATTGTTTGACTAGGAGGATGGCTTATAAAGCAAGTTCTGAGAGAGTTTTTTAGGGTCTCTAAATAGAAGTAAGAGCAAAGCTAAGGGAGCAGCTGCAATACTCATTGCCCATTCCCCATTTGATCTCATTTACTCAGGCATTTAATGTGCCTGCTTACTCCAAAGAGTTCTTAAATGACGGACTCAGCGACTTATTTCAGGTAGAAGTACTCCGCGCTTATCTAATCCCAGTGCAAAATTAAATGCCCTCACGCACAGGCCATTAAAATTGAAATCAAGTCTCTTGCCAGCCTAATGAAAAGTGTTCGCCGAAGAGCGATAGGGTAAGAGTCCACGCTGAATATTTATAAGAGCAAAGCCTTGTAGGCTGTGGCTGAGATCGCGACCGATCTCACAGAAGTGCGTGGTTATTCAAATTTGGCGGATCTATGCGGCGGGAATGGTATAAATTTACGAGTCAAATGTCACGTCACCTGCGTCAGCATTTGGCCTGGCCAAGAACAAGCGGCGCAGCATTTGTTAATTGTGCTTATGATTTATGCAAATGTATCCCTTATACACGAGGCATTTGTCCGCGTCTCTGTCGGTGGATTCTACACGACTCCGGCAGCAGCCCAGCTCAAGGTGCTCTTTTTGCTCAAGATTTATATTTATGTAAATCCGCCAGCCAACACACAAAACAGCCAAAAACAACCCGACTAACTAGTTTTTCCCATTCTATTCTTTTGTTGGCTATGAAATTGGCTTTGAATGGATTTCTGGTGTAGGAAGTGTTGGGAAAAAGAATGGAAGGTTCTGGCTGGATTTGTGGATGAACTTGAGGGAGCGAAAAGGAAAGTCTTAGGGCGGGAGAACGATGCTAAGAGAGGGCATTTCTAGCTGATAAATATCCATAAAAGATCATTGAATCCGAAGGGGTACTATTGGCAAAGCTGAAGGCTGCCAACTAGTTAAAGAATTTACTTAAAACATGAATGAAATCGATGAAGAATCATTTCTATCTTTACTGCCTGCATTCATCTGCCACTTAATGATTGTTTATAATTGCATCTTTTTGTGTGTTTATAGTAAAGATATTTATATACACGAGGATGATGCAATGCAACGCCAACAGCGATTTGTGATAAATGTGAATAATATTTCACAAGTTGCTCAAGTTCAACGAACTTGGCTCATTATGAGACTCCATTCATTCTGCCCATTCATAGGAAGTTCATTTCAAGCTTGACAGATTGAGAAAAAGGAAACTGCAGCCCAAGGACTCGGGCAAGCCTTGAGGCAGGCAAAAGGTGAGCCATGGGTTTTTGTAAAGATGATTCAAATAAGTTGTTGTTAATTTTATTTGAGCAGCTTTTGGCGTTCAAATTCGATCCATAAAAATAACAGTTAGCTCTGAATAATAAGTCTTGATAATTTGGGAATTTTAAAATGTTTGGATATATATTTACGCCGCTGTCTGTCGATCGTATAAACAATGGGCTAACGGCATTTGTTTAATGGATATTTCGAGTTGATTTGCAATTCGCGTTTTTGCGAGAAATGTGGCCAAAAAACCTGCAGCCACGGTTCGGCGACGCTCGCTTCCAAAATTGCAAAATTAAATTCGAATTAAACGTGTTTTTCCCCGCCCAAGAGTCGGAGAGCCAAAAAGGTATATCAATAAGCCTTATCAAGGACACCGGCAGGCGAGAGCGTTTAACCAGTTTGCTGCGCTTATTTTGTTGGCCAGCAATTTATGGGCCACGATTGCGGGCCATTGCCATTGGCATCCTTTTGCCGCGTTAAATGAAACACCCGAACACTGTGGTTTTTTAAGGGGAATCTCTGAGGGTCACAACGGGTGGGGGCAGGAACCTGTTTGTTCCCCCAGAAGAATCTGCGGCGTGTTACATAATAACCGAGTGACCCTTGAAAGTTTAACAAACTTGCTTGGCCTTTCGAAACGAAAGTTTTTTCGGGCTTGCCACAGCTTATCCAGAATCTGCAAGATACAAAATTAATCAAGCCTCGACCAGCAGATATCAGATATCAGATACTTTGGCTCACATTACGAGCAGTCGAAGATCAAGATCGAAGTTGAATCAATTATTCACTTAAGGCAGACACCAAATAACCTCTAGAGTAGAGTGAGACTGGGGTCAAAACGGAAGGTGCTCCGTAATGGAACTTGAGCCCCGAGACTCTTGACTTGATTAATGGCCATCTCCGGAGTGCACTTCACCTCTGGCGGCTCAGCTCAGGCAGCTTGTGAATTAGTCCACTCAAAAGATACTTTATATGTGAGACAGAAACACTTTTGGAGTGCAAATAAAGTCAGAGATTTGAGCTGAAGGCTGAGGGCCGACTTTTAAGCTTAAATTTAAAACAAAATAAAATACATAAAAACTAGTTAGATACATCTAAAAATATACAGATCGGACTTGAGCTTAAGCTGTGGGCTGTTTAAATTCTACACGAAAAAAAACAAGAAACACAAATCGAAAATTAATTTCGTATAAAATACTGAAAATTTTGGACTGAACCGAACTGGAGGGGAGGGGTAACTGGTTATATCGCCTCATTTCAATAGCCAACTGGTTCGTTGTCCCAGCCCAGATTAAATGTATTTATGGCCATTTACTAATTCCAGCGAGCATACGCCCAAAGAAAATCCAATTCAATTTTGGCTTAGCTTGGTTTTTATTGATGTAAAGGGAAGTTAAGTGCATAGAATTGGGTAGGTATTACAGAGCAGAGCAGCAGCCACTTCTCATTGTTTCTTATGTCAAAATATTCACTCGCTTCCTTGCCCATCCCATGCTATGGCTTCCACGCACTTGCCCTGCCCGATCTACACAATTTATTTTGATTAATTTATTAAAGTCTGGAGCTGCGCTGCAGCCACAAATTAGTTTTGTCAGTGTGCCATAAATTTGCATTGTGGCGTTTTTGATTTGTTTGCTGAGTGCCCCCAGAGGAGCCAACAAGGTAAGGTGTCTGCCGCTGGCTTCCGCATTTCTTGGCCATGTTCTTGGTTTGTTTCTTGGCCAAAAGCTACAGCTAGAACCACCCAAAAAGTAGGCTACAATCAGGCATGAGGCATGAATGAATATCCTTGCCACAATGTGTGCTGGTTTGCCATTAACAACGACAACTTGACACCATCTCAACCCAGACACTTATCGCCAATTTAATTGGATTATGCAATCCGCAGACGTCAATCAAGTAATACAGCGCCCCTCGTTGGATCTTCTGCCCAGCTCGAAGGTTAGTTGGACCAGTTTTCTAATGAATTTCAGATAAAGCCAGCATCTAGCTCGAGTCTGTAGCTCTGAGCTCTGAGCTCTGAGCTCTGGCCACAATGAACGCCTAAGTATTTATTAGCTTTAATTTGAATTTTCATATCAAATACAAAAAGGCGAAACAAAACTCGTTGGACTCTAACTCCATGTAGACATAGATGCTTCTATCCAAAAACACACACCAGAAAAACAGCAACAACAAATACAGTCGAAGCAGCATCCACGCCGCCAAACAAAATCAAGTTCACCTCGAGTGTATCAAATTTGTATAAAAATTCATCAGTTAGCAGATACGATACGTCAGCTGGCAATACAAGATTCGTAGCCACAAAATTATCTGTGGTGTGTGTCTCTCTCGCTCTCTCTCTCTTGAGGCTGGCTATTATGCAAAACAGAGGAAGCAACATACATATCTATGTGATATGTACATATGTATCTTCCATCTACTGCTGCGAGTATTTGCTTGGGCATCTTCAATCGATTAGCATTTTAGTTGCTTTGCTTTGCTGGCTACTAATGATATTCCATCATGGGTGCCATCCATCTAGCCTGCATCCTCTTGGCATGCACTTCTGCCGCTTGGCTAAACTATATTTTGATGTGGAATCGATTAGGTTGAGCCATAGATCACACGCTTGTTCCAAACCATTCGATATGCCCGACTCAAGGCCCTCCCGCTGAGCACATTCAATGATGAACCCATTTAGTGGTTAAACTTCAAAAGATCAACGATATTTGTACAAGTATGAGCAGAGTTTAATTGCTGCTAGATTAAGTGTGTAATATTTCAATTTAAAGACACTTCAAATGATGTACTTTCAGCAACTTATTTAAAGATCATCTGCCACCCCAAAAACCCAACAAAACCTGCTGCCAACGCAACCAGCAGCCAAGTAGCATCATACAAATATTTTTAGATCCAGTTCAATTCATTAGCCAAATGTCGCTTAATCGTTGTATTCATAAATAAACGATTGTCGTCATACAGTTTCGTTTTGTGATCACCATCTACCCAAGCCATAACTTGCTCTGCAGCATTAAGCAGCTATTTTAATTGCCATTTGAAGGAAGGACAAGTGGTCCACCGACACATCTGGGGTTGACCGTTTTGCCGAAACCTAACAAAATGTTGTGCAATTGTTGAGACAATATTTATGGCCCAAGGAACTGGCAGGAATATATATTTTTTGGTCGCCCAGACACGATCCACCGATCATGTTCGAGCATGTATGCTAATTTGGATTCTGGTTCTTCGATTCATGGCTCAAACTTAGCATCAATTAAAGGCGAACTTTGATATTTTGGGCAAAGACAACGATAGGAATCATAATTTACTAAACGTACTATTTATTATTGTATTTATATAAGATCGTTTTCGACATCGTTGTGTTTACAATTAACTTAACATCGGACTCCGATTCTTAGGATATTCATTGTGTCAGACTAAGGGACTAACTAACAACTAGGATTCATCATAATTCAATTGTTTTTATGTTTCAGGCACACAGTTTACACATTAACAGATCCGCTCATCCACTCGTTTGGGTAAACTAACTAGTAGCTAAATTATAATGCTTTAAATGGTGCTTAGACTATGTGTGGTGTGGGTAGATCAGTGCAGGATCTACTCCAGTTACTCCAAGTAATGACAACGGAATTTTCTTGACTTATGCTAAGGAACTAGATCGTAGAACTATGCCTGCTCACACTCCTCTCTCGTTACTCTCTCTCTATGTACAGTTTCGGAACTAGAAGATACACTTTTATGCTGCATAATTCGTTATTCGTTAGCTTATCGTATGGGGGTTACGGGATAGTTGTAGATGCAATACTCGTACTCGTACTCGTACAGCTTACAGATACATTTCTTTTGGATACAAGTCTTTTTTTTTCGAATGTGAATGCTTCGTTTTGTCCTGCTCTTCTGCGGCTCACAGCTCCGTGGAGTATTCCTCCGGATTGACGTTAAACTTCCGCCAGCAAATGTGATCTCCGGCTGCGGCGGATGTCGGCGGTGGCAGCTTGCCATTCACATTGACCACCGAGCTGGCTGAACGCTTCACATGTACTCGAGGCGGTGGCGGTGGCTGTGTGGGTGCCAGGCAGCCCGTGGAGCGTCCCAGCGGATTCCTGGACATGGCTAGCGACGAGTTGTTGTTGGTCTTTCCATTCCCGTAGGTAATAGATTCGTTCGAGGGCGAAATCTCGATGCGTGTGGCATGGCCGGAGTCAGTGCCGCCGTCGGAGAGGCGGCGTATGTACACCACCTCGCGGTGCTTCTCCACTGTGGTGGGTCCTGCCGCAGTCGCCGTCGCCGTCGCCGTCGCTGTCGCTGGTGGTGGCAGCCGTGTGAGGGTCTGTGGCTGCGCCGTCTGGCGCATACGCTGGGAATACCTCATGGGTTTGGCATCGCTGGCCTGGAATGGCACGTACTGCTGCTGCTGCGTGATGCCCGGATACTTGTCCACGCTGATGTCCTCCTCGATGGCCGAGTCCCCGAACATGGAGCCGCTGTAGTTGGGCGAACTGTTGCCCGGCGTTGAGGACTTCCAGTGGGTCTGCTGCTGCATCGGCGTCTGTGTCTGGCTGCCGTTCTGGACGCCATACTTCTGCGCACTCGAGTACTGACCCTTCTTGATGGAGTGCGTGTAATCGCGAGTGCCGCGTCGGCGTAGCGTAAAGTCCCGCCTTCCCGTGTCCTGACAGACGGAGCGCCACTGCTTCCAGGAGTGGCGGGCCAGCGGATCAGCGGGTCCCCACTCCTTGGCCGGCTTGGAGGCCTCGCAGATCATGCCAAAGAAGTTGTACTCCACCTGGCGGAAGATCTGGATGCAGGCAATGATGAGGATCACTCCCAGCACGAACAGTATGGGCGCCCAGCGTGGCAGATACTCCGCCAGCAGATCGTACTGATCATCGTCGGCGCACCACCACACAAGGATCCCCGTGAGCACAGCGGGACATGTGACCCAGAGGAGCATCCACACCTTGAAGATGGGCCTACCGATGGAGAACTCCAAGTCCGTGTAGATATTCTTCGCTCCGTAGATCCACGTTATGGCAATCAGCTCAAAGACCAGCGCTGTCACGACCATGGTGCCCACGAGACGAGAGTCCAGCACCCGAGCAATGATGAACTTGGGCGCCGCGAAGGACATGACGGCCACAACGAGCGCGATCAGACAGATGACGTAGTTGGGACGACGCGGCACGAGGCGCGTTGACGTGTACACGGCCACCGTGATGGACACCATGGCCGAGAGGATGATCAGCGCGTAGATGAGGGCGGGCACGAGGTGCTGCAGCACATCGCTCTCTCCCTCCCGGGAGCCGTTCAGCACACGATCGTAGATGGCCGTCAGCGGCTTGAGCTCCTCCATCAACTGGTAGCCGTTCGCCGAGAGATCAAACTGCACCATGAACAGCGTCACGGCGATGGCATTGATCAGCAGGTTGAAGCAGAGGTACACCACGGAGGTGCGCACTGCGTCTCCCTTGTACAGGAACTTGCCCGTGACCATGGGCAGGGCGCCAAAGCCGCAGTTGAGTGCAAAGAGGACCTGCATCAGGGCATTGAACCAGATGTTGCTCTCCAGCAGCAGCGTAGGATCGAAGCCCCACAGCTCTGGGAAGTAGTGGCGACTGAAGGAGTTGCGCACCTCCCAACCGGTCAGAGCGCAGAGCAGGACCAATCCACTCAGCCCGTAGACGAAGAGGCTGCGACGCAGTATCTTGGCATTGTGGGTGCTACGAAAATGGAAGGTGTGAGTGGGAAAAATATTAGATATTCCATTGTGGTACTCACCACAGCATTACCACAATCCAGAGACCAATTAGGCCGGCTGCCAGTAGGCCAAAGTACAGCGGATTACGCCAAAAGGGCGTCAGAAATGTCAGCTGCAGGCACTCCTGCCCGCTGGTGCCCGTCACCAGATAGCCAGTCTGTGGGGAGTTTAATTATATATAAAGTTTGCACATTTCTAATGGGTTTTCTGCTTACCGTTCTCAGCTTGACGGGTCCGGCACACTCCCGAAATGGCAGCGCATTGGAGGCGAACATCCCGATGTAGGCCAATGCCAGCACGGCCTGCAGGGACACCCAAATGGCAGACAACCACGAGGCGAAGCGACTCACGATGCAGGCGCCTAAGAGCAGAGATTGGTAATATTTATATGTATATGGAATAACATTTACCCCCCCCCTGGATTGGCTTTGCGGAAGCGCGAAAGATTCCTTCTTGTATTTTTAATTAAATTACTTTTTGTTGTCATTTAAATGGCCAACGGCAAGTGAAAACTAGTTGTCAAAGGTGTCCGAGAACGAGATTTTTGTTATGTTTACATTTACATTTAAGGCCCATTCTGTGGCGATTCGCCAAACTAGATCGATTCGACCTTAACAGCGCGCCGAAAGCTGTTAATATATTTAACACACACACACACACAGACAGAAATCGGAATCAGTTCCTAGACCCATAAAGTTGGCATTGGAGCCATCAAATAAAATGATCATTCGAAAATATCAATAAACAATAAATAAATGATTAAGATGAGCTTTTTTTTCCACCACTCCACACCACACCCAAACGGTCGAGCAACTGTATTTTTCTTTGACTCCAAATGGAAGTTAATTATGCAATTGCTCATTTCGTTTTGCGCTTTCTGCGCTTGTCAATTCCGTTACTTAGCCGCTGTACTGTAAAGACGAAAGCGCCAAAAGAGGAGGCAGCATAATTGATTCATTCGGAATTATTATTACTATATTTGCACATGGAAACTCTAACAGAAGGTTAGAACTGCAGAAGCAAGCAAATACTCGGAAGCGACCATTTTCTACTATAAATCAATCAATGTACAAAAGTTAAACTGATTTATGGAGCCATCTTTAAACGCCGCTCAGATCATACATCGACTATTATCCCATACACGAATACTCGTATAGTTCTTACAGAGGGAGCGCTACTCCGCTCGGTCTGCCTGTGTGGGGGACTTTCAAACCATCCCAAAAAAAGGGCGATACAACGAAGGCGCATTCCCGCAGCCACATTTAGCTAGAGCTCTGGCGCATGCATGTGACATGTACGTGTTTTGCTTTCTTTCTGTTTATATTTTTCTATATATATTTTAATTACTGAGGTCGATTTTCGAAGGTGTTGTGTCGTAATTTGCAGGTTCTCGATTTTGCTCTTTGCCTTTATAGGGTGGAGGGGTTGTTGTTGTTGTTGTTGCTGTTCTTTCTGCTCAATATTGCTCATGTATATGTTGTAGATACTTTTTGAATTCGCTTGTTTCTTTCATTACAATTGTGCTCCTTTTCGGTTTGCTTGGATTTATACTTTTGTTCATTTAGAATTTGCCTTAAATGTCTCTATGGTTATTTTTGTGGACGCACCTCATCCACCGCCAGTCCGGTCCGAGCCGTTCTCCTGTGAGTTCCTCTCTGTTCAGCAAGACTCGAACCGTACCGTACACGTTTTTGTGCCAACCGCCGGCCGTTCCCAGCGCGCAAACCCCCCCTTTAGGGCAGAGGGCGACGGGGGGCGCCGCTCACAGGTGAATCTCTTAGCTCCTTCTTCCCCCGCACCTGATGTTCAACGATTCGTCGCCTTGCGGCAGCCTTGGGTTGGTGTTTGGCTTTTCTCAGCCTGACGACCCCCGAGAGCGGGTGCTACCTATGGCCCGTCTACCCACTTTGATTGGCTGGGTCGGGGACGGAGAGGAGGCGGTTGTTGTGCGGCACGCACACACACGGGCGGGGACTTGGCGCGTCGGCGATTTTTCACGAACGGGACACACACACCACAATGCGCATTTTGAAGTTTTTATATTTTTTTGTACGATTTTCTTTGCTTGTTGTCAGAGTTGTTTGCTTTTGCAGTTTTTTGTCCTGATAACACACACACGTTACGTTGATGAACATACACATTATTCTACTAGGGTCACATTTAGGTTAGTCTTCATATTTTTTTAGTGTATTTTTTATGTATTCTTTTATAGTTTTTTTGTTCGCATTGGATATAGTATATACTTTGGTCTGATATTCCTCCTTTTGTCATTGGCCAAATCCTCTATGTTCGTGATTTCTCTTGTTAGACTTTTGGTGTTTTTTTTTTCTTAGTTTTTCCTTCTTGTTGTTGTTCTTTTTTTTTGCTTCTGCTTCTGCTTCTGCTTTTGCTTGGTTTTTGTTAAGTGGCTCCTTGTGCTTTTGCCCTTGCATTGGCCCCGTCACTTCCCCGTCACTGGGGGAGAGAGAGGGGAGCGCCTGCTCCGGCTTTGTGTTTGCTCGGGAGAGCGGGTAGTGAGAGTGTGGAGAAGAGATGACACGAAAGTGTGTTGTTGTTGCAATCGTAACTTCGGCTACCAACGGACACAATTTGAGAGAGTTTTTTGTGGATCGACGGGATGTGTCCAACCGTCTTTTACTGCCAGAATGCTCGACCGCCCAGTGGTTGTCCTCCGGTTCCGGCTATTTATGCGGCCTCTAACGGAATTGCAACTTGGGAATTACAATGACGTGCACACGGACACAATTGCATTGCATCCGCATCCGCTTGCAGCTTTTGGCCACAGAGCTTTTCGTCCTGCACATGCACACGCGCAGCTTTTCAAAAGGGGGTTTTTCCGCCACCTGTTGCATGCCGCCTAAAAGTATGCTACGGCCGAGTGCCACCTGTTGTGTGTGTTGCTTACCTTTGAATATGGGCGAGGCGCGCCAAGTGTGCGCCGCTCCCTGGCCCAGAAACTGACCCACAGATATCTCCAGCAGCATCATGGGCAGCCCGACTAGAAACAGCAAAACCACATACGGCACCAGATACGCCGATCCATAGCGGTCCAGCTCGCGTGGGAAGCGCACAACATTCGCGAAGCTCACATTGAGGCACAAACAGAGCACAAGGCCACGGAACACGGAGCATTTCGTCTGGAATGAAAAATATTGGAGTAAAGAATTCAGTCAATAGAATTTGCATTTTAATTAGAAGCATAAAAACATGAAAGAAAATGCGTGCATGATGGCTGAGGAGTGCCTTCAGTGCACTACTTTTCATTTGTAATTCCATCTGCCAGAAATATTTGTCTTAAATATTCTTTAAACTGCAAAAAAGCCAGAAAGAACAGTTCTAAAAATGTTCCTCCATGAATATCTTTCTAAATATTTTAAATATTTTTACACTTTCATTTTCCAAGCATAAACAAACTTAAAACCCTCAAAAATGTTCTTTGCAACTATTGGGAAGTTGCATTCTATTCTCACAACCCGTGCAATTTGATATGCCACCACCTCTTGTATTATATTTCACTTCTGGCAGAGTTGGCGGAGTACAAATTATATGGAAAGAAAGCAAAAGTTCACTCAGCTCAGTTGCTGGGCAACACACAAAACACATACACGAAATGACAAATTGCTGCGGCTGGCATATGCAAACTCATCTGAGTTTCGGGATTTTCTTTTACTTCTTTAGCAGGAAAGCTGCGAGCTGTGAGCACTAGCAGCCGTCACATCCGCCGGCTGTGTATTCCGCTCGAATCAGACAAATAAAAACAAACAAAAACCAAAAAGAAAGATACACCTACAGTGGCGCTGTCATTTCCGGCACTTCCGCTTTCGACTTGTGTAATTTCGCTATGGTTTGCTTTATTTTCATTAATTACACAATTTTTGCTTTCTGTTTATTTGTCTTACGGCTCATATTTCTCGAAATTCCCCACTCCCAAGCCGGTGTGTGCCTGTGCCTTAGTTCTTTGTGTGTTTGCACTGGCAGAGTGAGCGGCAAAAGAAAGTGCCCAGCAAGCAGCGCCAAGAGGGATCTTAATAAGCGGCGGCGACCAAATTCGTTCACGGCTCTAATAAGTCATCTGCAAAATGTACAGCATAAGCCCATTAGATGTGCGCTGGCAAAAAAAATACAGCGAAGACATCAAGCAAATACCACAGCTAACAGCAGTCCACAATTTGTTTAGTTTTGGAGAGGGGAACAACAAAGTGCAAGTTAAGCAACTAAAATATGCCCTGTAGAAGGGTTTTAAGTTAATTAACGTGGAAGCTTTTGCTGCCGAAAGATAAGCTGTTAAAGGGGATCAAATGTGCCATTGGTACAGCAATAATTCGCTCAATTATGGCTCCCTTTTACAGCACTATTTGTGGTCCATTTGCTACAATAATTCATTGAAAATGCAGCTGGGAAGAATTCCCAAATTCCCCTAGCAGCCACTAAGCATTGCAGGGTACATCAAAATCGCTTGCCAGCCAAGCGCTATTAAGTGAAATTCATTCAAGAGAGCTGGAGGCAGCAGAGAGAGACTCCTCTGTTAGACAAACGAACTGCCAGGCGAGGCGAGGCGGCACAGCATCAGCCACAGCAGTCAGCGGTAACAACGTGACGCCCAGGTAAACGCAGTTAATAAAGCGAAAACCGCACAGTAAATAAAAACAACAACAACAAACCTAAAAAAGAGCGCCCAGCGATGCCGAGCCAAACGGCAAACGGTTTGAAGTTTATGAGCGTGCAGAGATGACGACGAGCATTACGCGGGGCACCATCGCCATATCATAGATATGTGCCATATCATGCATGATATGCTGGGATGCCCAACCCCGACAACCCTCCCCCCCCCCCGCGGCAGACACTTACTTTGCGATAGTATCGAAAGGGCACATCCTCGTGCACCACGTACAGATAGTCGGCCAAATACTTTGTGGTTGCTATCTCCATCTTGGGACAGATCTTGTATTGCTTGTAGGTGCAGCAGAATTTTTCATTTTCATGCATTTGTCGCTGGTTCTTGCATACAAAATGGACTTTTGTATTTCGTTTGATCACTTCTTTGGGCTTACAACAAAAACAACAAATATTGCTGTTGCTTTTGTTTACGTTTACTGCGAGGTTTGTTGAGATTTCAAAAATCTAAATTCAAAACAAAATTTGCTTATTTATTAGGGTTTAATATTTGACATAATTCGAGTGGATCTTCCTTCCGGTCGGTGCACGTTAGGGAATTGATTGTTAATAATTAAAACCGCGACTTTTAGCATTTTAAAGCTGATTGGTTTTGTGTCAAGAAAAATGTAAATATTTTCATGCATGTGGAACAAGTTATCACGTGACGAAAGCAACAACAAAACGAAGGCAACGACGAATGCGCAGACTTTAGAGACTCAAATAAATTGGCAACACCTTCACACTGGCTAGAGCCTGGCCTTGAACCGCTTATTGAATGTCTGATATATTTTTATTATCTGCGTGCACATTGACACTTCTTCAAGGGGAAGCGGAACCCCCCCCCCCCCCCCCCCATCGAATCTCGGTTGGGTTTTGCTTTGCTGTTGTTGTCGCCGATTAAATTACACTTAAATTGCACACAATCGATCACACATCATAGCAGAGTTAACGTTTCACACTTTACACTTTTAGTTTTGCATTTCTCTTTGTTCTTAATTCGTTTCCTTTCTCTGCTTCTGCTGCTGTTTCGGTTTCTTTTGCTGCGCATCCGCTGTGCACTCATCACCGAAGCAGCGCCGACGTGCGACTGCGCAGACGACAGACGAATTTGATTGGGAGGGGGGAAAACATCAACTACGCGGGTTGAGTTCGGCTGTGCCCAGGTGAAAGGGGGAGCAGTGGGGCGCAGAGTCAGTCCGAAAAGAGAGCCAGAGAGAGAGAGAGAGGAGAAACAAGTTTCCCACAAATAAGAAAAACTTTTGATTGGGAATCTCTCTCGGGCTCTCTCTCTCCGCTTGATTTTTCCACTGTGCCAAGCGGATATATCTTTCATCTGTTTTTGGTGAGTTTTCATTTGGAGCAGCGCACACTGAGAGACACTGGCAAACCGAACCTGGACAGATTTCGTTGGAGGATGAATGAATGGTTGGAGTAGACGACCACACGGAGCGTGCGAGCGAGCGTACCTAACTGCTCTCTCATTAATGCAGAACTGACTCGAGTTCGACGCAGGCAGGCAGGCAGGCAGGCAGCAGCAGCACCAAAGCGTGGCTTTCCATGCACAGTGGCTGCGCAAAGTTGGCGCCCGAACAAGCCAAAACGAAGGCAAAGGCAGCGGCAGATGGCATGCCTGACTGATTTTCCTTGTAAATTTATTCATGCTTGCACACACACACACACACACACACACAGCACACACTAGTGAATTTTCTTTTAGAATTTCCTAAGATCTTGAATGGATTTTATTGAATGTTCGCCCACGCAATCTAATTGAAAGAATGGAGCGGAGAACACCAAATGCTGGCCTAATGATGCCCTCAGGTCGCGTTCCCACATCTCTCTCTTGGCTGGCAATATCATCTGCATAATTAACTTGTCTTGCCACAAGAAAGAGCTGAAAGAAGACCGCCTCTTAGCCGGTGGGTCTTTTGAGCCTGCTTCTCATACTTCAATTAAATTTCATTTTAACACGTTCTTAAAGCACAGCGAAAGAATGCCAGAGAGACGCAATTTCATCATCATTCTTTTTCCTTCTTCTAATTATTATGTAAGCATGCGAGCGGGAAACTGGCGCAACAAGTGGCACTATGTTGAACTGGTCGGGTCGCATAATTAACAGCACTCACTGTGAGAGCGCGCGCGCCTAACTGACAAGTGGAATGAATGGGCGTTAATGGAAAATAAAAATATTAAATCTATCTGCTGCCATTTATATATACATATATTTGGCTTCAAAGCTAATCCGAGTTCCATAACCCAAGCGGAAATTCAAATAAAATCGCGGCAACGACCATAAACGATCGACTCGAATGTGGCTTTCCCATTGGTGGAGGCGCATCAAGAACTTCCCTACGTTTGGCATAAATAATTGCTTGATTTTGGCTTTTTGACTGCTCTGTCTGTGTGCCTGGCATTTCCAATGAGGCCCAGCCAAGTGGCCGTTAAGGCTTAAAGCAAGAAATGTATGAAATATGAAAAGCAAAAACCAAAAACCAAAAGTAAAAGCGTGGGCCATGGAACCCAATTAAAATGTTTCTTTGGCTGCCAAAAACTAACCCAAAAATAAATACTTGGTTTCTCTGCAACAAGAATTGATTTCTAGATGCGCTCAGAATTGAAAGGTTTCGTTTCTTTGACAATAATTAGACACCGCCCTGAAATTGGAGTGTGAAAATGTCCCCACAATGGTGCGTCTCACAAAAGGTGTCCGAAATAAGGCTTTTGTCTGCCAAAGCAGGCCCTGACAATCTCTCTCTCTCTCTCTTCGCAGACAGATCTGGGCACCAGAGCATGTTAACTGGGGGGAGTCGCTGTCTGGGCATTGTTTTTACGAGCACAAGTACGGGTATGGATTGTATGACTGCGATTGCGTCTCTAGGGCTCTAATCAGAGGCAAACGCAAGTGAAAGGAGAAGTCATGAAGCCGTGCAGTGCCAGCAACTGGCAGCTGTGTGAATGTGCGATATCGTTAACTAGTCAAATGGTCTCCGTTACACCCAAAACCCGGTAGAGCAGTGTACCGTGGATTGGCTTGGACTGTCCACGGATTGTGTTTCGGTTATGCCTCTCTGCCTCCCGGGCCCATTCTGTCCACTCTCCTCCACTGATCGAAATTCTTCTGTCCACTTTCACTGAACTGCTTTCCCAATCCCAGTGCCACTCCTTGGAGTCACTTCTAATAGCCCCATAATTATCGTAATATTTCCTCCACCGTCGATTTCCCACCAATTTCGAATGCAATAAACAGCCGGGATGACGTCACACCAACATTGGCTGGGCTATGACAATTGTTGTGCAGGCCTCTGGCTGTATCTTTTGTTTATTGCTCATTTTCATTTCTTTTTTATGGCTTTTGGGCGGACCACCAAAATTTTGCACCGAAAGTACATTCGAGCAGTAGCTGCACAATTTCGGTTGGTTGTTGCTGTTGTCTTTTGTTGAACTTGTTAATCAGCGAATTGGAAACAAAATAACATAAGAGATGAAGTAACCGATGCGAGCTCGCAGACATGCCCACCGAAAGACACAGAAAAACAGTAACAGACCCCGGCAAAAAGGCAACATGCATATGTACATAGTATCCCTCTCTCCCCCTCTCTCTCTCTCTCTCTGTGTTTCTTTTTTTGGCCACACTCCACGAGTGGTTTTCGATTGTGGTAAGCAAATTGCACATTCAAAAAGTCGCAAGCTTAAAAGTAAAAATATGCGAATTGCTGGCAGGTAGGGGCTTTCAGCCCCAAACGATACATTTTTTCCTTGGAGCTGTCGTATTGGAACCATGAAATTGGTAAATTCGCTTACATTTAAATGCACACTAAACAAATAAGAAATTAAATGGATGGCTGAGGTTTATTGGCAGTGTTTAATTTTATTACTTTATATGGCAGTTGTTCAAGTTAATTGTTTTAGGTGCGGATTTTACTCATAATTATTTTTTCACAATTTTCGAATGCATATATTTGGTGTGGATTGTGGATTTATTATTTTTTTTATTTTCTCCTCATGTTTATATTTATTTAATGCTCACAAATATTTTGTTTACCTTTAGAAACAAAAGACTGAGAACACAAACGCTCTAAAGGACAGTTGAGGGGGCGCACCACAGCCAGCAGCGGCCACTGCGGCAACTAAGGCAAACGAGACGCCAGAAAGTATGCAGCACTTCTTCGAAATTTGCATTGCACACCTCCAAGAGCTCGCTGCTATGGCTGTTGACTGTTAGCCTCAAAAACTGTATAGCCGACGAACACTTCTACGCTTTCGCTGCTGATGCAGAGGTAAATAAATGGATAAATATGTGTATATAAGCAAGTATTTATAGTAGGAATATACATGGTGGCGTGCATCAGTGGTTTCTACTGTCTGTTTATATAGAATAAAGTCAAACAGTTCTTAAAATATCTGCCTGGATCTTCGCTGAGAGAAACTCGAATAATATCGCTTAATATCCATGTCCTATTTTTGAATATTTTGTATCAATTTTTGTGCATTTGTTTACTTAAAAGTTGTGCACTTTCTTTTGCCGTTTGCTTTTTGCTTTTGTTAATTACATTTGTTCGACTAGTGTGTTCCTAATTGAAAGCAATTAGCATCGCTGCGACCCATTTACAGACTGCACTTGGCACTTGCACTCACACAGCCAGAGAAGAGAACCTAACCTGAACCGTTCTACTATTCATGAATAGAGCGAGTGTAAATTGTGTAGAACAGGAGAACAATTGAAGCGATCCGAGAATCGAAAGACAATGGTCAGGCCCTATCCGGTCTGGTCCGGTGCGGAGTGCCGAATGCCTTACTAACCCAAATAATAGGAGACAAATGCGAGCTCCTAAACTAGTTTTATGACAGCCCGGACAGGTGACCAACCCCATAGACAATGAAAAATTTGGAAAGATGGAGAGAGACAGAGAGTGCTCCTCTGTGTCAGATATTTGAAGGTTGCGAGTGCCACGCCCTCGTGCTGCTGCTGCTGCTGCGATGCAATCTGGTTTGTGTAATCTTCATCTTGAAAACAAAACCATTCAAACACCTCAAATCAAAGATCAACAAACAAAAGACGAGAGCAAACAAAAAGCGCGAAAATTAACGCATTTCCAAGACAAGAAAAGGGGGAGAGAAGATGTTACACTGCGCTCGTAAAGTCTGCTGTCACACGGAAGTCTGTCAGACACACGTATTATCAGTTAGCGGACGGGAGCCAGACGATCATAGAATCGATCGATGCGAGTAAACAAACAAAAATGCAAAAATTCTGCTGGCAATCGGCGGGGCACGTATTAATTTCGAATATTTTGAGCATTATTAAGCGGATAAGCGAGACTTACAGCGTGAGCCGCGACTCGTGAGTAATCGATTAGCGGAATCAGCACCAGCTCAAGCCATTCATAAGTCAGCGCACCTGATAAGCAGCAACGACCCCACCCAAACCCAGAGATCTCCCTCACAGATCTCTCTCTCTCTCTCTCTCTTATTTATCTTCGTTCATGTTCAAGCCCAAATATCATTTCTCAATTCTTATTTATTCTCAGCAAATCTCCCAAGGGGAAGATGAGCCAACTCAGCACTGAAAAAAGGAGTTCAACTTGAGAGTTGTTTATAGTTGCAAACAGGTAAGACTTGTGGCCAAAATAAATGGCATACACGCGCACCCCAGACATGATGAACTGTTCTGCTGAAAGCGCTTCGATTTCGATTCGTTGGAATGCAAATAACCCAAACAAAGAAGCATAAATTGAAGTAGCGATTATCTAGTTATTAGACTAATCATATACGATAAACTGGTTGTCATATAGATATGCCAGCGAAAGGTTTCCATTCCCCTCTTAGAAGTTTCTTTTATAGGAATTTTATGAGCTGCACAACTGTTTCTCTGGCTTCAAAGAGAAGATAAATATATCCTGGCAGAGGCGTTTCAAAAATTGATTATAAACCTGTGGGGAATTTGACCCAATCAACTGCTGCCCAACCTGCTTAGAACTGGCTTCCATGTCCCAGAAATATAGTTTCCGCCATCTCCACTCGACTCACCTGCTTGTTGGCCTCATCCTCGGCGGCTGGCAGCAGCTTGGCATTGCTGGCCGTTGTGATGTTGTGCACTCCGGAGACAGAGTAGTTCTTGGACACTCCATCGTGATGCAGATCGTGGTGCACATCGTGATCGTGGTAGCCGCCATGTATCTCGCTCAGCGTGTTGTTGCTGCCGCTGAGTGTGACAATGCCGCTGGAGCTGATGCGACCCGAGGTGGCGGTGGTGCGTCCCCCGCCGCTGTCCACCACACTGGACACGGTGGAGATGCAGCTGCGTGTGGTCTGCGGCGAGGGTGTGATGGCGGCCAGCTCTGCATCGGCCTTGGCCCTGCGCATATTCAGCCAGGACATGCGGTGCGGCTGGCGGCGATCCAAAGTGGCGGAGACTGGTGTGGGATTCGGATTTGCTGCACCGCCAATGTAGACGCAGGTTCGGGAGATGGAGGACTCGGTGTCATGGCGTGGCAGGGTTGCCATGGCGCCAGATATCTGGCGATAGATGGGCGTGCCGCCGCTTAGGGGCTTGCTGCCACTTCCGGTGCTCCGGGCCAGACTCAACTGCTCGGCGAGTGCCTCGTCGCTGCTGCGTGGCTTATAGCTGCTGTTCATCGATTAGATCTGAAAACACACACACAAAAAACAATCCCAGAAATCAGTCAGAATGAAAGGTGAGTAAATTTCGTGGAAGCATTTCGTATCATGAACAAGTTCAAAGCCCAACTCCCGGCTCCCAGTGGAGTTCGCACGAAAACCCCAAAAAAAAACAACGAAAATGAAATGAAAAATATACAAAAATATTATAATTCGCTGTTGTGTGTGCTTGTGTTTTGTTTCAAATGAAATGATTCATATGAGAGATCTGCTTGGGCTGTTGGTTTTTGTTTTTGTTTTTGTTTTTGTTTTGTTTTGACATCGAATTTACATGCGAATCGTCAGAGAACAATGTCTATGCCCTTCCCCTCTGGCAACTGAAAGTGAAATGCGTACAACAAAATCTGCCACAATTCGCTGTGATCCGTGAAAGTGAAAGCCAACAATTTGCTCTTCTTCTGTGGCCTATTCTATGGCTTACAGATTACTGAATTATGAAATATTGCCTGGGCTCCGCTTTCTGCATATTCTTTTGACTTGCATGCAAATCTCTCTGGGAACGAAGTCTCTTTCAGCTCTTCTTTTTTGTTATCATTCCAGTGAAAATATCTGAAAGTCGGCTAAACATCTGTTCCAATACGAATCGAGGCAAGTACACACACTGCTGCTATCAGTGGCCAAGTGTTTCTCTTCTCTGTTTCTGTATCGTTTTCGGTTTCACAAGTTATTTTTATTGACACAAAAATTGAGCGGAGTAAAGTGAAGTTTCTTGATGCCTGAAATGGCGTTCACTGCTCCATTTTCATTTCCATTGAAGCACCAACAGCAGATGCCTTAACCCACTGGCGGTGATACAATGGAAAGTCTGTATACTAAATGCAATAAATATTTAACCCGTTTCAATGGCTGATAAGTAACTTCTAATCTATTTCACATAGTTATTAGGTTCTAGTCATGGGTATTTTTATGCCTAACGATTGGAGGGAGTCGTAGAAATTATTTAATTGTGCAATTTATAAGTTTCTGATCAATTTTAAGTGCGTAAATTCTCAAAATTTGATCACGGAAGGGTTAATTAATTTCCCAAATCTACGATCTGCTTAGCTCTTGATTAATCTCAGAACATTCCCCACTCTATTCCGGTTATATTTCCCATTTAAGCATTCTTCTCATCAACTTCCGAGAAATAATCCAACAGACAAAAAGCCATGCAAATTTATTAATGAATATAAAACTGTTTTAGCCATCTCCTTGGCAACGGGTGGAGCGGGGGAACATTAAACAAATATATGCGGCTAATAAACATTAATTAAGCCAAGTGCGTAAATGCTGTTCAAACGGAGACCCAAGCTGCACTGTTGGCAACGAGTGTTCAGGGTTTCGTGAATGACTCACCACAGCATTTGGCTTGGTTGGGTCATTAGACTAATGAATGCTGTTCGAGGCAGGCATCAGAAGTCAAGCAAATCTTGTATCTTATCAGCCACACACATTGGCACACATTTATCTGTGGCCAAGTCGGTAGCCTCCTCTTCAGTGGAAATGCATATTTACCAATGATTATGCATGCTTGCATAAATGAACACAAAATGAACCAAAAAAAACTTGCAAAAAAACAAAAGGGAACAAGAGAAAGAAGCCAAAATCCACTTTGAACATGCGAGATCGAGTTCGGTGACCAGCGAAACTCCGAAAGAGGCCACATATACTGGGATATATCTCAATCTGCCCCGAGAGTACGAGTGTTTAAGCAAATTTGTTGGCGTTCATTTACTGCAGTTCCAGACCGCCCCGTTTTTAAAGCCGCGTCATAATGAGCAAACAGGTGAGATTACACAGCGGCATGGTAGGGTATACACGACCCAAATGATGCTCAGTAGTTGGGAGGGAAGTTCGGGAATTCAAAAAGTGTTTTCTGAGCAAAAGAAATTATGAAAAATGCTGACACTACCTGCCCAGACCTTCAAGCGCCAGACAGACAGCTGGCTAGGCCCGATCCAACTGCTGATTCCCATAGAAATCAATGCCTGTCGTGTAAACAAAACTCTAAGCCTCCTCAAGTGACGGGTATCAAAAGTATGTGCCTCATCTGGATGAAGGCAACGTGCAGCGTGGCGGCGTCTCCGCGCTTGTTTACTATTGAACAAACGAACGAACAATTTGCAAACAACTGTGGCGCCGTAATGCCAAAAAGATTTTGCATTTGCATGCCACAGAGACAGCCACAGAAGTCGATACAGATATTGTCTGCAGATAGATTTGTGTCTGCAAATTAAGCAGAAAAGTAGTGGGAGATGGCACGGTACGGGGACGGGGACGGGGACGGGCGCTCGTTCAACCGTTTGGCTGGGTGGAAGACTTGGAAAGTCAGTCCAGTGAGACGGGGACGCCCCGTACCGGGCCGGACCGAAGCGAAGCGAACCAAACGGAACCCGAAAGGGATCGCGTTGGTGGTGCATCAAGTTACAAGTTATTAACAGGTACTATACGTGTACGTGTACGTGTACTCCCAAGAAAGTACAACAGATACACATGTAGCGAGCCAGTCGTATGGCTCAGTCATTTGCTTTTCTTTGTGCACTCAAATTGAACGGCGACAAGTACAGCGAGAAGGAAAAACTATGACACTTGATAAAGGTTCTGACGAGGGCAACAAACACCAACAGCAGTAGGGGCAGGCAGTGGCACCACCAGCTCATACTCAGCCGGGCGTAACCAACTGCCGCGGCTTTTTCCACCTTCCACTTCCCTGACCAAAGTCAAACCGAACATTAACGTTGCCATTTAGAGGAGCAAAGAACCGAACCTCCACAGAACCTCCACAGCACCTCTGTTCACCTCAAAAGTCTGCCCGTAATTTCGCTTTTTTTAGTGGTTACTTACGATAATTAAGGGTTCATTTTCCAAAGAAACACCGCAAAAAGGCAGCGAAAAACAAAGGCCTACTCAAGATCAATCAGTTGTAAGTCAAGGAATACACACTTTTAAGGGTTAATAAAGCTACAATTGAAATTCCAATTATAGAGCTAATGGCTCTACAAAGTTCATAGAACATTTGCTAGTGGAATGGCATGACAACCTTTACCTTAGAGCTAACATCCAATCCAGATTAAAGGTAATTAAATGGCGTACTCTTATTAATCACGTCAACAAGTGGCTGACCTTTGACAGGGCGAAAGTCCAAGCAGTGCCCAGTCCCAACCCCACCATCCAAGCAGTGCTCTGTCCAGTAACCACCAAGCAGACCAAGCAGACCAAGCAGTGCCCGATGCCATACCCAACGCCTCCCATTAAAGCCTGAACCTGAACCTGAACCTGCAGCCGCCAAGAACACACAAAAATGTCACAAATGGCAAACGGGCAAACATCTCAGCAAAGTGATTTCCATTTAAGTCCGGAGCGAGAGCAAAACGAAAAGCAAGCCAAAACAGCGGCACTAATTAATGTCCAACTGTGTGGCTAATTAAGAGATGATCTGATGGATGCGGGCACACGAGCAGAGCAGGCGATACAGCGATATGGAAAGTGGACTCAAATGGCAGTGGAAAATCAAAGAAAATCAAGTGCCAGTGGAAATGCCCTGATAAACCTTCGATTTAGAAGAGTGATTGTAGCTGTGTAGCTGCATTTACATTTATTTATTTATGTATATCTTCATCTTTTGCACAGCGAAATTAAAGCAATTGAAAGTCTGCGCTTGACTTGTCTCTGCTTGGCTTGGCTTGGCTTGGCCTGTCTTAAATGGAAAGTAAAACAAAAACTAGATGAGTTTTTCCATTTGTTAGCTGCCTTCCTGCTGCCAGCAGCAGTTTCCTCAGTTTTCCCGCTGCGATCGGAACGAAAGTAAAAACAACAAAAGCCCAGGCCTAATTGTGGCTCCTTTGCGTGGCCATTAGATGCCATTACTAACTATGGCTCTAGTCTGTGTCTTGGCTTGACACAGTTAGTGGCAAAAGAGACAGCCATAGATTATGTAAAATTATGTGTAAATTATATTGAATCGAACGACAGACAGACCAAAAGACCAGCCAAGTAAAAGTATCTATGGCTGAGAGTCTGTGTCTGCTTTGATTGCTCTTTATTGATTGTTCAATCGAATGTAATTTATGCTGTCCGCTGTGGCGACATGTACCAACTGTGACAATATTTGTATTTTCTTTGTATTTCTCGTTGCACGCTTCTTGTATTCCAATTTTCGCTCTTTCCGGCTGGGTTTTTAGCAAGTTTTTTGTCACACATTTTCGCCATTGCCCTACTCCGAGATGTGGCTGCAGAGATCTTCAAACACGTTCCGCCATTAAGGCATTTGCCAATTGCATTTAGCACATTAGAGCTCCGGTAATTACATTTATCCGAAAGATCAAGGCATGGCATGGCACGGACGTGGTGGACATACTTTTTATTGGACGTGTTTAGGCATGCGGCAGGTCATAACCATAAAGATGACACTCTTGCCACTGGGTCAAGAGCACAAAAGAGGCAAAGGCAGAGGCAAAGGCAGAGGCAAAGGCAGAGGCAAAGGCAAAGGCAAAGGCCCAGGCTGTGGCTTTGGCTGCAACCGCAAACTCGATTCAATAATTGCTGTGGTTCCAACTCCAACTTCAACGTCAGGACTGTCTGCTTATGCAAATCATTGTAAATGCTTCATGTTTGCCCTTGCTGCTCGTTAATTGCAAGTTGCTGGCAATCATAATCCCCATCCGTACTCAACAAATCGCTGGCTAAATGTTTGCCTCCCCCCCTCCACTCTGCCCCAAACCTCTTGTTACACAATAAAACGCGAAGCTTTAGGGGCAAAACTCGCACAATGGCAATTATCAGAATCATTAGCAACTGAATGGCGCTGCGGCTCCTCCTCCTGCCTTGGGCCCCCATGAACTTTATTTGCAATTGAATCGAACAAACAAATAGACAAAACTGGCAATGAAATTGGGCAGGGGTGGAGGCAGGGGGAGATGGGATGCTGCTAATGCCAGATACGAAATTATAGATACACAAAAATATTCATGGCAGGTGTTTAAAAATAACAAACTAAACAAAAACTCTCAGAAAACGAAGGTTCAGCAGGTGCGTGCTTGGAGTTTCCATTCCCGATTTCCATTCTCAGTTGGAACCAATTTTAATGGCATCTTTCAATCAGAAAAACACACACCCAAATAGGGGATTTAAAAAAATGTTCAACTAATCTCCTAATGGAAATTTAAAGACCCAAAAGGCATTGGGTAACCACAGAACGCATCTTTGGAGAAGATTAAAAAGAGAACTGGTGGGAAAGTGTAGCCTGGATGATGGCAGAGAAATTACTTTGAGTTCTGATGCTTACAGAAATATTTCCCCACAAATAAATCCCTTAAAATATTAATTCACACTTACACAAAAAATGTATTTACCATAGAAAGTAACACATCAAAGGTAGAATTTATCTAACAACTTGTCACGCACATTGTAATTAAATTTAGAATATTTTTAAAGCAATTTGCACACAGAATATTTCGTTCTGCTTTCTGCTCTCATAAACTTGAACTTCTTTGGCAGCTCTGCAGCTATTCTTTAGATTAAGCCGACATTCCCATTCATCACTTTGGTCGGAAGTAGATAATTTTTTAATTTGTATTCAGCACTGGCTACTGCTCCTTATTTTTGTATTTTTTTTTTGGGGCAACACGACACAACGAAGCAGAGGCAGAAACCGAAACTGGAGTGGGGTAATCAGAGACGTAATGCCGCTCCAAAAAACTCATTTGAATGCCCCAAAAAAACGGGCGACACACTCGAAAATCAATTTCGATTCAATGGCGAAAATTCGCTGGAAGTTACTACGTTCTCACAGCGAAACAAAAAAACATAACATAACATTGAAATTCAAATCGCCGATAGTGCCGAGAGTGCGAGTTTCGAAGCGTTTTTTGAGGTAACGCGATGACGGCGACAGGTTCAGTGAGACTGAATGGGTCTGGGCCTGACTGTGCACCGACTGGGCTAGTCAGAGATAGTCACAGAGAGAGAGAGAGAGAGAGCGCGCAAAGTCTCTCTACACGTACCTGTCTGGCAGAGTCTACCTGTGGGCAAAGCGCTGGTCAGGGTATGGGAATGGAGGAGACTGTGGGTATTGGGCATTGACTGGCACAACACGTGTAAATGTAACATGGGCAAAGCGTATGTACATATCTGCTGGATACATTACTTGTATCTGATCAGGCGTCTGGTAATTGCGGTAATATCAGCAAAACACGCAAACCGTTTGAAGACAGCAAAACAGCAAAACAGCAAAACAGCAAAGAGGCAGTTAGATCTCGTCTCTCTGGCACTCTCTATCTATCGCCTTATATCCTCTCATCAGCAAATACACATAGAAGACCCATCGAAAAGGTTCAGCCAAGATTCCATTGACTGGGGAAGCCTGCGGAAACCTTTGGCAGGAACGGCTCGCAGCACGGAAACCTTTGGCCAGCCCAAAAGAAAGAAGCCGCACAGCAGACAAAGGAAAAATGAAACGTAAAATGCTGCTCATAAACAGGAAATTAATCACTCGAGTGTGTGCGTATTACGAGGCGAATTCCCTGAGACCTCTCAGCGGCAACATCGCATGTTCTTTCACATGCCACATGCCCCGTCAGGTAGGTAGCAGTGGCTCAGACCCTGAAAGGAGGAGGCAAAAGGGCCCGATGTCCATGGGTTTGAGGAAGTGCCCGCTGAGGGTAAAAGGTATCCGGGTATCCGAGTATATTCCCACTTTTCAAGGTCGCTGCGGCATTTACAACTTCATTCGTTCGCCATTTCGCAGCGGCGTGTAATTGAATTCTGTTTATTTTGACTTTTCGACTGCTCGCACAATGCAACCAACACACACACACACACAAACAGAGGGTTCGGTTCCCAGAGAGACACAGATACAGCAAAAGATACTGCGCGCCAACGTAATGCTAATGAGTTCCTCCATCGAGATTTTTCCTTAATGATGATTCAATGGAGGAGGCAGACAGCAGTCAAAGATTCTTAGCCAATAACTAATTACAATTGGAGATGTGGAGATGTTCCCAACATCGTGTTACCGGTTTCCGGCTCACTTCTAATTATAAACCAAACAACTCAGCAAACAATTATTCTTAATAATAATTTAGCATGCATCCAGCAACATACTCGTAGCACTCACGGACCCACGCCAGAACATTTGCGCATTTATTATTGATGATGATTATGGGATGGGGTAGAGTAGCAGGAAGTTCGAGAAGCCCTGAGAAACAGGGCTTAAACATTTATATATTTTTATAGGAGCAGCGAATGGAGAGTGCTTTGTATATTGTCTTAGTATATTTCCATTTTTGGTAGCCAGAAAATCGGACTCTGAGTTCAAGCAGTAAAGGCAAAATCATTGATGAACACTCTTCATTTTTTAAAGTGCCCAAAAAGTAATAATACTTTTCTGTTCGTGATCTTCTTGATCTGTTCTTAGCATTATAAATTACCCAACAGCATACAATATTCTAAGCTTAGAGCTACGGCCAGCCAATGCTCGATGTTTTTCAGGCACTTTGTGCTTGCCACACTGAAATGTGATACTCGAAAAGATTTTCGTTGATAGTTGTTGGGTAATTTGTAGAGATAATGGTAATGGAAATCTTCTCGGATGCAACCTCCTAGTCCCATGCAAATGCTGTCAAAAAGAGTCTCGCCTTCAAGTCAGATTTTTGTACTCGGCAATCGGCCTCGGGGGTAATTGTGTTGGAAAAGTGGAAACAACGAGAATGAATGTGTTTTGGAGGCGCATTAGAACCGGGCACATCAAAACGAGGAAACTGGTCTATATATAATGTAAGACACGAGTTCCACCACTCTCCTCCCAAACCCAATCACGTTTCCACGGAGAAAACAAACCAAACCAGACGCAGCAGACACACACACAGAGCAACAACATAAAAAGGGGACGAACATAGAGAGCCGACTGCCTTGGTTCCCCAGGCCGCCCCAACTCCAGCGTCAGCCTCAACCTCGTCTTTGTGGAGCTTGGAGTCAGCCTGTCAGTTACCAAAATGAGTGCAGAGCTATTTTCCCCGCAGCATGCTTTACTTTATTTTTTTACATTATTTTTTTTGTTGTACTTTTTTTTGTTTTGCTATTCTCCACTTTCTAGCAACAGTCTGGATTCAAGCTGGCTGGCCAAGAACCCACCATGCCACACCAAATTGCACCACTTTGTGGCGTTCTGGTGGCGAGGCAGCAAAGAGGCATCATTATCATGGCCATTACAGGCTGCAGTGTACCTTACTGACACCATAAATGGTCTCCAGTTATGGCCCGTGTAGGTTCCGAGTGTTCTCCTCTCTCTGCATTTGGAGCTGGAGATTCTGGTTAACTTTCTGGCTGGGTTTTGCCATTGTTTTTGCGCGACTGGCCCTTCCCCACTGGTTCTAATATAATCTGCCATATTCAGTACTTCTACACTTAATTGAATGTGACGTGCTGGCTGGAGTTCTCTTTTTTCTTGCTAGAGTTCAAACACTCCAACACTTTGGATGATGAGATCATTACTCTTGGGAGTTAATTTTATTCTAGGATTTTGTTAAGGGAGAGCGCTGCTTGAAACCAACTTTCCTCTGCAACATCTGTTGCATCTGTTGCAGCTCTATTACATCTCTATTATAGCTATCTACTGTCATGGCCTTTGTGTGTGTTTTCGTTGGTTTGGTTCACATGGCTCACTTTTTGAGAGAATCTCTCAACAATAAAGATTCACTGCGCTTCCACCCCAGTTTTGGAAATACACTTTGTATGAATATATTCAGTTAGCACTTGCTGCAACATTTCTCGCTTCGCTTCGAGAGTGACTTCATTTTCCCAGGGCCCCCCCAGTAGAGGTAGAGGTGCGCACAGGTGACATGCAACCCCCGTTTGGGGTTATTTATACACATTTTATGGTATAACGTTCCATTGTTCCACACACTCAACACTGACTGTTTTTCCACATGCATAACTATATGCGGAGATGGAGACGTAGACGTAGTCGGAGACGGGTATTATATACACATAGCACACTTACGCTGCATATTGCTTGAGCTTTTGATTACCAAACGCTCTGAAAACTGCATAGAAAAGAGGTTTTAGTTTTCAATTTATTTTTTTAGCAGCACGTAGAGCAGTGGCAGCCAGTTCCCCAGTGCAGATTAGAAGCCAAGTACAGGGGCAAGCCAGCGAGCAAGCCATTCTGCTGATGACAGCAGCTGCAGCGGCAGCGCCAGAGAAGAGACCACCAGCAAAATTTGTGCAATTCTAGGCCCGAGACCCGAGGCCTGAGTGGTGCCCCAGAGAATAACGGTCGCAAACAAGAAATGTGCGGCCCACAGCACTAACTCTTTATAGACAGGGCGGGCAACGGCACCCGCCCCAACAGTACCAACCCACCAGCAGCAACAGCAGCAACAGCAAAAGAACAAACCAAAAGAGCAAAAGCATGAAAGAAAGAAGGAAAGAAAGGTACCAGAAGTGAGACGAACTGTGTAGAGTCAGAAGGCGGGTTGCCTCTGGCTAACCTCAAGTAAACCTCAAGTTAAGTTCTGGCTAAGAACGAGGAAAAACCTGATGACTCAGTCACGAACCACAAAGTTAATGGGAAGGCAGCTTGTTCTCCAGCCTGCCATTATACTCCGCACTGCAATGTCTAATGAATATATTGAAAAACAAAAGATAATGGACAAGTGCAAATATTTACGATGCAATTGCAAAGGCAGGCATCTGGCAGCGGATATTACACACACACACACACACACACACCACGTACCACGTACCTGTGAAACAATTTGCGGAACAATTTGTGCCAAGTAAACACTTGATTAAGAACGAAAACAAGAGTGAGTATCTGCAGTATCACCTTTCGCTCTCTCTCTCTCTACATATCTCTTGCCAGATATTATCACCGCAGACGCCAGAGATTCCACAAGGTGTGGATCTGTTAATTCTGGCTGCTTATCATGTGCTAAAAAGACGTATTCTATATATAAGGAAATGGCACAACAATTAAACTTGAACAAATAGATATTTCTATGGCGACATTCAAGGAAAATTACTGATATTTGTCTGAGAATGGAAACTTTGATGGCGCCGCAAAGACGCAACTGAGGCAGAGGTATGGGCACAATAATGATGACATCTCCTCAGATTCTTTTGTACTGAAAACACTGCAGAGAATAAATTGTATATAAACACAGCAGAAACTCTCAGTTGTATTCTAAATGATTCCAAAGATGTAACAAGAAACTTTAAATAGAGTCTTATGTTTCAAAGTTATGATAAGATCTCTTTCGCTTAGCTTTAGCTGAGTGTGTGCCTCCCTGGTGGGATGAGTCAAGCTCTCAAGATCACAAGATAAACTTCATGATTACAATATTTGCTGATGGCATAGATAACTCCTGCATATAATCTTCGTAAACTACAGTAAGCTCTGCCACTAGTTGGTCTCTTATCAAGATGTATCCATCCAAGGAACATTTACAGTTTATCTCGATGTTGTTGTTGTTGTTGTAATTGTAAGGTTAAAACATTTATACTAACTAATTGTTGTTCGAGCGCCGCTTGGCGGAAGTTTGAACTGCATTGGCAATGTAGCATTGAACTTGCCTGTGTGTGAGTGGAGACGATCTTGGGGGTGGGGGATTTTAGTTGATCAAGGCAAAACTTCGTTGAAATATACAGCAAAGCGTTGACCGCCAGTCAAAGAAACAACAAAAAATGTAAAAAGCCCACGGCACCAAAGGAAGGAGAGTAGGAAGGAAAGACGAGACGAGACGAGACAATGCAACCGAAAAAGTAGAAGAACGTGAGCACAAAAAAGCAGCAACAGCAACAACAACACACGTAAGAGAAGCAACAGAGAAGAGAAGCGTGTGTGCATGAGAAATGCAAAGGAGAGGACGCGACAGCCTGAAAACTGG